CCCTGCTCCGTGGACATGGGAAATGTCGCCCCGTGGGCACTCGGATCCCTTCAACAGGTAGCTAAAACCCCAGAAAAAGTGGAAACTGTTTTCTTTTGCAAGACCTGGTGCTAGTTCATAAAACCTGCTGTCAAAATCTGTGATTTTAAAATATGAATCTGGAAGTGGAAGAAACAATCTGTGGCTCACGAAGCAATCGGATCTGATCCTATCCATAAGAGCATGGCTCGTGTTTCTTCAGGCTTTGCTTGAGGGGAGAGATTTGTTCGGTTTTACCCAGAAAGTGGGTTTTTTTGATGTTTTGGAGGTATTTTGGTTGCTCTCCTTGCCCTCTTCCTCCTTCCCCACTGCTTAAGTCAGCTCTCCTTGCGGACGGTCGCGGCGGTTCCCACAGCTCTGGATCCCACAGCTCAATTCCTTCCTTGGGACTTTTGGGGTTGCTTTGGGTTTTTGCTTGTGCTGCAGCTGAAAAGCCAATTTCTTCCTTCCTCAACCAAATTAGCAGATGGCAAAGTTTTGCCTCTGAAGCACACACGCAGTGTTTTATCTATCTATCTATCTATCTATCTATCTATCTATCTATCTACCTACCTACCTACCTACCTACCTACCTATCAAATTATTATTTTATGTATTTTTTATATATATATTTATATATGCTGCCTGCATGACCTTGCAAAGTGTCTACGTGCCCCGCTAGCCATCGACTTGCCATTTCAAATGGGCCTAAGCCTGTTTTCACATTTCAGTAGCTGCATTTGCTGCACCGATACAGCACGGTAACTCCTTATATACGTTTTAATGGTCTTGAGAAATCACGTTAGCAAAATATCTAATTACCGTTGTAATTCCGTCAGGGCAATTTAGAGCGTAACGCATGCGAGCTGCACCAGGGCTGTATAAATCATTAAATATCACAACATAAAATCACGAACGATAATCTGATTCCAGGAGTCTCGTAGGTGCAACGGTTATTAATTAGGTGTGTTTAAAATAAAGCAGAGAGTCTGCTAAGAAAACTTTAAGGTAGGACGTTTAATTTTCTGCTCTCAGTTTGACATCAGGGACTTAATTTTCTTTCAACTATTTCAACCCTGGAAACCAGTAGGTTCATGTTGACTCCCACACTTGCAACGCGTGGGTCAAAATTCGCATTGCTCTTTGGCAGCCAAGATTTTATAAAGATAAATAGTTTAGAGGTTTGAGGATGATTTTGAGTTTTGTTAAACAAAGTCTCTCGAAGGTCTTGCTAATGAGAGGCAAATCCAGGCAGCGAAAGCCTTTGAATTTGCTCGTGAGCAGGGAGGGAAGGCTCCGGCTTTGGCCACCGGTCTGCTCTGCCGGGAGAGGTTATCTTCAAAGAACAAACCCCGAACTAATTGGTCCTGAAATATGGATGTATTTAAAATGCACAAAGGGCTCCCTGGGAGGCGGCGGTGCGATTTGAAAGACTAATACAGAACACAGGATTATAAAATTTCTGACAAATAGGTATGGGAGTGACCCTGGGAGACTTCAAGGTGGGATTTTCACCTGGTTTCATGCCCAGCAGCTCTTTTGGAATCAGGTTGGGTTAACAGAGCGCCCCAGCCCTTCCTTGCTAGCAGATATGTTTTTTCACCAAATAGCCACTTAAATAAGAGTGAAGCCACTGGCTCCTCCACCGTGGAGAAATGCTTTTCATTAAGTGGGTTGCGTTGCAGCCAGACTGGGATTGCAGCGCGGGAAGCGGCGCCGGGAGCGGCGGTGAGAGCCCCATGGAGCCCAGCGAGTGCGTGTCCGGGTGCTCAGCTGTGTCCAGGATGCTGCAGAAAGAGTGTGAAAACAGCAAAAAAAAATAGAAGTAAGGCTTGAAAACAGCTTTTCCTCTTGAACAGAGCAGGTTTCCAAGCAGGTTTCCAAGCGCTGCTTTTCAAAGACCGCCAAATCCCAATATTAGAGGCAGCGAGAGGTGAAGAGCATTTGGGGTAAGCACCGTTTTGCTTCCAAATACTTGGCGCCCAGGTCTGGGTGGCTTTCGGTATCCCGGCTCTGTCCTGTGAACCGGCACGTCATGCTGACTTTCCATCTTTATTAAGCTGGTATATTTTAAGCCCAAAGCAATGTGTTATCTCTCCAGGAAAAGTAAACCACAAAGTAAAATGAGCCTTTTTCTTTTTTAATAGGCTAGGAGTTTCTGTCCTAGAACACTTGAGTCTTTGGATATTTTAAGAGCTCTATTATCTTTGCGCTCAGAGGAAATGTAATAAATACGTAGAGGGAGAATTTTGCTGCTTTGAAAGCAGAGCAGAGGGTCTGTGCTGAGCCGACACGAGCTGAAAAATGTGTTCAGCCCCATCAGCAGCAAACTACTTAGGGGTCCAAAAACGCTTTTGGGGATGAGCAGCGTTGCTGAGAGCACATGGGAAACTTGCTGCCTCTCTTGGGTTTTGCCCCAGACCGTTCGAGTGGTTACGACCCCCTTTTACGTTTCCCAAAATTTTAATTAAGGAGCAGCGATCCCGCTGGAATGTGGTGGGAGGAGAGCGCTGGAAGGGAGCGCCCGCTCCTTGTCAGCGGCCAGCGCTCCAGTGCACATCCCTGTGCGGGCAGCTCATCAGTGCCTGAATAATCAGTGACGTTTCCCTTCTCCATCTGACACAAAGGCAAGTGCAGCACTTTGGAAAAAAGCCATTAAGCAACGAGTGTTGCCTTCTGCCTTCGCCCTGCTCCAGGTAGGGCAGGGATGAGCTCTACACTAGGCTGGGGCTGGGGTTTGGTTCCATGGCAGCTGCGCATGGTGCACGCAGGGCCGAGTGGTTCCAGCATCGTGCAAATACAGATCCCTCCTCTGCTCCTTGGAAAAACAGGGAGAGATTGGCTCCTTCCTGGCATTCACAAGTGTAGCTTGTTTGCATTAGAAGGTTTAGGTAGTAAAAAGTATAAACTGGACTGTTTTGAAGCTAAAAGGTGCATTCTTGCAATCGAGGGAGAGGTACCATCAGGTGAAAATCTGGTGCATCTGGAGTGCGTTGGACATGTGAATGCATTCTCCTCCAGCAAATTCCCCAGGCTGCCCGTGCAGCTGGCTGTTACCCTGCTGTTACCCTGTGCTTTGTTCCCAGCATTTCTAAGATGATTTCCATCCTCTGTGTGAGCGGAAAGTGAGAAATGTCAGGCAGGAGAAAGGCAGGGCCGAGTCTGTGAGTGCCGGGGCTTTGGTTTCCTTGATGTCCCGGAGGCAGCGGGACGGCGCCGCTGCTCCCCGCCGGCCCCAGGGCCTCGGGGAGAAACTCCTGAAGGCTGAAGGTTAAAAGACCCTGTGCGAGGGTCTCACAGGGTCAGAAAAAGGGGATCTTTAAGAATCTTCTGCCTGGGGGAAGAGACTGCATAGGGAAAACATGTGCTGGGCAAGAGCTTTGAAGAGCACGTGCCTTGGACGGGATGTTGTCTTGGAACACCCCTCCTTTGGGTTGAAGGTGCTCGATCTTGAACCTCTCCCCTTTTTTTTTTTAATAGCTTTTTGGACCCCAAAATAGAAACTCTTCATGCAGTCAGCTTGTCTATTTATTTATTTATTTATTTATTTATTTATTTATTTATTTATTTATTTTCAGTGGCTCTAACTTATTTTTAGCCCCTGTCTGGAAGCTCCAGCACAATCGTTCCGGACTTCTTAGGGACCTCTTCCTTTGTGCTGTGGTTGATCCTTCTGGCGCCCGAGTGGCAACCTGCAGCCACGATACAACACATGAGAGCAGCACCCAGCTACTACATCTTGAGTCTCTCCTGACCTTCTATTGAGCTTGTTGCTGTTTGGAGGGTGGCATCGTGGCCGTGTTTGGGCTCCGAGTCTAAAATGCAGTGGATAAGCGCTCTTAGAGCTTGGTCTTGCCAGGCGCAGCCCTGTGCTCATCGTGAACACATGACTGACCAGAGATAAAAGTGCCTTTTTCCCTGAGTTTGCAGAGTTTGTTAGTAATGGGGGAAAAAATGGCACGGGAAAGTTCATAAATGACTGAGCCCGCTCCCAGCTATTGTATGGTTAGTTACGGCTGAAGGCTCCAAACAGTTTTAGTGCTTAAAAAAGGCATGCTGATGCTGTGGTGCTTTGGAATAAAATGTCTTTATTACTCTATTTTAGGTATTATATTTACGATGCAACCTTTAAATGCATATGCAAGCACTTCCAGCTCCATAAACACAAACAGCTCGTTGCAGGAATTGCCACGCAATATTCTTCCCTCTGCCCTTTTGCAGGGGGATTGGATTAGTGTAACAATCTTTGCCGTGGAAAGCTGTTTAGGAGGCTCTTCCGAAGCCGTGCCGGAGGGTACCCCGGCTCCAGCACTGTGTCGGGTGCTGGGATTTGTGCAGTTTCTGCTCCAGCCTCAGCAGCGGGTCCGTGACAGTACCACATCCAGGCTGTGTGCGCTCAGCGCCAGTTTTCCTTGGTCGGATGCTCTTAGACATGTGCTCTTCAACTCGTGCCTCTGTGTAAGGGAACTTGAGCAGGCAGCAAGGCAATTAAAAATATATATATTCCTTAATGGAGCCTGGTTTGAACAGGTCATCAACACCAGCGCGCTCAGTTCTTTGCTCAGCTCCGGCTTGCGGCGGTAATATTGAATATTGCACTTATGTGCACTAATGTCTTAGTCTCCTCTTCTCAGTATGTCACTTGGACTTATTTTTCACCCCATGCCTTAGTTACATACATACATTCATACATATCTATTATGTATAGGTACATAAACCAAGTCATATGTCTGTATGACCTGGAAACCTAGGATAAAAATGGAAATAGGCTTTTAGATTTGCTAGCAAAGCTGCCCTCAGACTGGGGCCTGCTGGAGCATTCGGTGTCAATTCGATGTCAACCCCCATTGCTTTTGGGGTTGCTCCTCATCACGAGCCAGCAGAGCCCATTGCGTGCTGGGCCACCACCTAAATGCACCAACATTTTACAGGAGGGGTGACCCGTGAGCCTCCTCCTGGGGCTTGGGGGGACTCCCCACGAGGAGGAAGGAAGGAACAGCGTCCCTTGCTCTTGCGCCGGCAGGTGACGTGGTGGACATCTACCAGCGGGAGTTCCTGGCGCTCCGAGACCGCCTGCACGCCGCGGAGCAGGAGAGCCTCAAGCGCTCCAAGGAGCTCAACCTGGTCCTGGAGGAGATCAAGAGGGCCATCTCGGAGAAGCAGGCCCTGCGGGATATAAACCGCACCTGGAGCAGCCTGTCTGGTGAGTGACACAGGCACTGAGGGGCTCGCGCTGTTCTGAGGCTCTTGCTGGTGAGGAGGCAGCGAGGGGTGCGTAGGGTGCAGACCGGGCGATGCTTTTCTCTCCCCCTGTGCAAGCAAAAAAGGGTTTTTTAGTAATTATTTAATGCAACAGGCTGGAGAACTCTTAAACCCCGGTGGAACTAGCAGTGCATCTGCATCATCAAGCACTGAGATTTGCCTCTGCAGGTGATATTTGCAAACGTGCTCGCTTACAAGCTTTTATTTTTTTTTTCTTGCAAGTCATACATGCCGTTTCCTATGGCTGTACTGAATCCATATGGAAAGTGGATATCTGAGGAGAGGGGGGAGGAAGGAGCGAGGCTGCCTGAGCACCCTTTGCCAATTTATTTATTCATTTATTTATTCACTTCTTTTAAGTTGCTCAGCTGCAGAAAGATGTATCTCTACAGAAGGATCTGATTTGATCTTCATTTGATCTTCATCCTTCCCCCTCCTTCCCAAATATTTTGGGACTTCTTTAAGGCCCTCATGGCTCCTGCTGAACTTTAATTGGGTTTGTGGTGGCATGTTAAAGGTTGGCCTCATTTTGTTTTATAACCTGGCAGTAGTCTCAGGTGGCCACACTTCTCTAGAAAGGCTTTTGCCTTGCAGTCTCTTCCTACATACCGTTCCTTGCATATTGATTCCCTTTTCCTTTTTAAGACGAAACCAAGTTAAAACTGTGGAATATCACCAACAAGAATGTGCTGCACCTTCCCACCATCTTCCATCATTTGCCACATTTGCTGTCAAAGGAGAACAGTCTGCAGCCAGCCGTGCATGTAGGACAGGGGCGCACTGGAGGTAAACGGGACTTAGTGCTGCTTCTGGTGCTCTTGCTCTCACTTGGTGCCTGTCCCTGCCCTTTCCTGCGGGCCTGGTTGGTGCGTGGTGCTGAGCAGGACCAGAGGAACGGCTGCATGCTTCATGCGAGCTTCCTTGTCGCGGTGGCACGTGGGGTGGACGAGCCACGTGCTGTGTGTGGTGCGCAGGGCCATGCTCTCTCTCCGCTTTGGACCTGCACTAGAATGTCCTTGAGGCTGCTGTCCGGTGTTTTGTGCTGCTTTCCGTTTCCAGAGGGCTCTGGCTTTTACCTGGTGGTCAGAGAAGAGCACAGTTTGCAGTGCGGTTCATGGAGACCTTAGCCCACTTGAGGAATCCAGCCCACCTGGAGTAGGACTTTAGTTGCTAGAAGATCCCCCCACCCCTAAATCCCAACCAAAGCCTAACAGCCAAGTTATCCCTCCTGACCTGCGGTGCTTCTGTCCATGGGAGAGATTTGGAGAGCAATGTTGATCTTGAAGTTACCGCTCAACGCTGTGTGAGCAGCAGGTCCCTGGTGCCCTGGACGTGTGCCCGTCAGGCCTGGCATGCTGGAGCTGCTGCTGCTCGGCACCAGGGCCATGGGACAGGAATAAGGGAACCCCATGTAGTCCAGGCACTCACTAACATGTCAATCACTGTCAGTTTTTAATGGTGGAGCATGGGCAGCACGCAGGTAAACCCCAAGGCGGTCACGGGGGACAGAGCGACACGTCCTCTCTGTGCATCCCCCTCCTCTGAAACCCTTTCTTGGCTCCGAGCAGTGTCCGTCGTGATGGGAATCCCCAGCGTGAAGCGGGAGGTGCATTCCTACCTTACAGATACCCTCAACTCCCTCATCTCGGAGCTCACACAGCAGGAGAAGGAGGACTCCGTCATCGTGGTCCTCATCGCTGAGGTAAGGCCGAGCTTCGCCTGTTAGTCCCACTTTGCTGGACCCTGTCCTGCCTCTCCACCTGCCACCCTTGGTGCCAAACAGGACGCCTGCGCTCCCGAAGGTCACGTCCACATCCAGATAAGCCCAGCCTTGGGCTGCTCTCCAACCAGGATCACTCAATGCATCCTGCCCAAAAGGAAACCACGGTTGGGTCACAGAGCTCAGGCGAATGGGCCACATTAGTGGCTGCCCTCGTGGCTCCTGTGCTCCTCTTTTGGTGCGAATCGTGCTCCTTCTTGCAGGATGCTCAAGCTGCGCTTGACCCAACGGTGCTGGTGGGTTCCATTCAGTGTGAGTTTATTCTGGTGCTGGTGGGACTCCATTCATGCGAGTTATGCAGAGCTCTCCTGCAGGAACTTTGTTTCTCAGTCCTACCTATAAAATAGCACCGAACCCTTCCAAGCACCACAGCACATTTATTTGGGGCTGGGACCAATATGCTGCTTTGTGGCCGTATCTGGAGCCCAGAATCAGTTGCTGAATCCAGGGACTAAAGAGCCTTGATACGTTAATCCGCCAGAGCTGCTTTTATCTGTGGGTTTATATGGTTATTTTTCTCCATGACTTTCCCCTCAGGATTATTTCCTTGAGCCTGAAATGCATTTGTCTTAATTTCCGGAAATCCGTTGAGAAAGATAAACCTCAGTGGCCTGTCAAAGGGAGCAGAACACAGATAATGCCTGGTTTCGCTGCCTGTTTACCAGTAATTTGAGTAGCATTTGGGGTCTCTGGCTTCTGTTGGCATCCAAGGGGAAAAAAAGGCTCTTTGGGCAGGAAAAGGTGCAGCTCCAAGTGCTCCCAAGGCACGTGTCCCTGCTGCCTGCAGGGACAAGGCTTCCTCCAGGCCACCGATTGCCTTCCAGGCAGGACAAGTTTGTTGTCTGGTCACACACTAAGTCAAAGCACGGGAGACCTGGAGCTGCTTGAGCAAAACTCAATGTTTGGATTAATTTGACTTTTTTTTCTAGCTGAAGTTGCCCTTTACACGTGCACTTGGTGCATGATCAATACGTCTGTCCACAGCAGCGCAGCCACCAGGCAGCGAGCGTGGTTTTGCTCCTGGATCTCCTGGCCTTTATTTCGGGGTTTTGTTGTCCCAGTGGATGTGTGTGCAGGCCCATGCCAGTCCCTGGGCGTGTGTTTCTCTCTCCTATAAATAGCGCTGCGCGGTGTTGCTAACCTTTGCCTCTGAGCCATGACAGGTTGCCAGGCTGGCTGTAGGGACAAACTGTTGTGTTGAAATGAACCTGAAATGTAAATGCTTATAAATAGACCTCTCTTTCTTCACAGAAGGGGTGGGAAGCCTTTGCTGCCAAGAGTATTCATTTGGATGCCAGCCAATGTGTATAGAAGGGAAAAACAAGAAGTTAACGCTTAAGGCAAATGAACATCCCTGGCAGAGAGGGGTGCCAGGAGAGCACGTGGGGATGGTTCGCAGGGTCGCGCGATGGCCCGTGTGCGTTTTGCCCTATTTTAGGTTAATACTGACCAAAGAGGAGGGTGGTGCTGAGATACTGTCAGGATGCGGAGCCGGCTGGAGCAGGAGGAGCGGAGAAGGGGGGACAGGGAGGTGAACGGAGCCGTCCGGCAGCGCTGACGGGCGCCCGGCTCTGCGGCCAGCTGGGGCCGGGCCCTCTAACACTGTTTAACTTCTGTTTCCAGACAGATGCCCAGTACACAACTGGAGTGGCAGAAAATATCAAAAACTTGTAAGCACGTCCCCATTGCTCTGCTGGTGTGCGGTCCGTGCATGTAGCAAGGCCGGGGAATGGCTTCAGTAGAGAGAAAATACCTGCTTCTCCGCTTCCCGCTTGTGTTCTGCTGCTTGGTGTGTTGTTCTCTCTGCTCTTAAATCCCGGCCTGGCTTCTCCGCGGGCTGCTCCCGGTTCCCACGTGTGCTGCACTCCCTCCCGTGCGCAGCTCCCGGGGGCTGCTCGCTGCCTGCATGTGTCTAGCGCGCGCGGTCGTGCCATTTTGTTGTGCTCTTTCTGTCCTCTGGCGCCGCGAGAAGATGGATTATTCAGATTTCCAGTAATCCTGGCAATTGTTCCTGCTCCAGCACAGCCCTCTACCTGCTCTGCCGAGTCAGAGCAACTGGACAGGCTGATAAGCACAGCGCGATCTCGCTCGAAAACCCACATTCCATTTTTCTCCTCCTGCTTCAGCCTGCGTGTGCTTTTCCCCTTGTTCTCGCCGCTAGCTGCGTTTTCCCTCACCCGGTAGCTCCTGTTAATGTCCCAGGGGCTCCGGGGCTGCACTTGCCTCTGCTTGGGGCAGTGACGGGTGATCCGGAGGAGACGGCGGCGCCCGCAGCCTGAGGGTCTCTGCCGTCCCTTTCCAAGGCTCCAGGACCCAGCTCGGGCATCCCAGCGCATCCGCCCGGTGCGGAGCCGGCGCCGGGCAAGGGGCCGGCAGCGGAGCCGCGCCGGGAACGCGCAGCCCTCCCTCCATCTTGCGGCTGCCCCCTCCGGCCTCCCGGCAGGGAATTGGATAATGGGCCGCTTGTCTGCCCCAGGAAACCACCGGGCGCTGCCGCGGAAAGGCCTCCAACTTTCATTGACATCATGGTTTTATTTCTTGCTGCCCCCCAGGCTCTCCCTCCCTGGGGCTTCCTCCCCCACCAAATTCACCTTTTCTTTTCTTTTTTCGCCCAAATTGAATGGAAGGGTGCAGGGGCACAACACCGGGCTCATGGTGCAGCATGGGGAAGCAGTTGCTGCTTCCTTGCCCATCTTGGCATCTCCAGGAGAAGCTTCTGCCTCGCTGCTCCCTAGGGAGGGGAAGGGCCGAAAAGGTTCGCTGGAAATTTTAACCTAGTCCAAGAAGGGAGGAAGGAAGGGGGAAAAATAATAATGAGCAGTTTTTGTCGTTCTCGCTGCTTTGTTTCCCTCGGCTCCGGACAAACAAAGGAAATCAACCTTCCACCAGATGCTCTCAGAAAGGGCAGAGTAAAAATAACTGCTTTTGCCGCTTATCTCTTGCACTGACAGTAATCTCCGGGTATTGCTTGCAGGACTTGTGTACGTACACATTTTTTAGCTGAGAGAGGGTCTTTTTATGTGGTTTTTTTTTTCAGTTTGACTCTTTACAGGGTTCTTAACTGCCTTGCAGGGAAACTATATGCTGGTGTTATCAGCATAAAGGGAACAGGTAGGATTCCTGCTGGCCATCCTAACCATGGCACAGTGCAGAGCTTTGAATAACTCATCAGAGATGCATAACTTCATCTCTACAAAATGGCTTTTAATTACTGGTGCACTTGGAAAATCTGTAAATGCCTGTAACGCCAGCAAGTCTTTCTTTTTTTCTTTTTTGGCGTACCCATCTGCAAGTCCATTTAATCCCATAGAAAGTATGTGGGTTTTAGGGCTTTTCTTTAAAGCGGACCCGTGTTTTTTTCCGAGTGCAATAAATAACAGAGGACAGTCTGTGGGCTGTCTGGGCAGCAGGGAAGGCAGCTGCTTTCTCAGTTTTTCCACTTCAGCTGGGCTGCTCCCGCTGCCCTTTATCCCAGCTGTCCTGGGAGCTGTCCTGGCTCTGTGGCTCCGCGTTTTCCCCCGGCTCGGGCAACGACGTGGTTCCTCGCATGCTGAGGCCTGTGTTTCCCACTGCTTTTCTCCCACAGGTTCCCCAGGGAAATCCACTCAGGACTCCTGGAGGTTATTTCCCCATCTCCACATTTCTACCCGGATTTCTCCCACCTGCGGGAATCTTTCGGGGACCCCAAGGAAAGAGTCAGGTGAGACCTAGCTTCAAAACGCACAGACCCTGAACTAGGTAACCGCAGGGTTTCCCTCCTGAGCACGAAGAGGGAAAGCTCTTCTACCCATCCACGCTCTAAACCTGCTTCCCTGTGGAGCTGGGCAGCTGTGGTGGGGGATGTCCAGCCCCAGAGCTGGCACCTCTCTTCATCCCAAGGCTCTTCCCTCCGCAAGTTCCAGTCCTTTCCAGTAACTCTAAGCCGATGAGCTAGACACCGAGAGGGAGAGGCCATTTGCCATGAGCTTCTCCACGAGCTGGATCACGTTTCCTATTTAAATCCCATGCCCGCCGGCTCATCTGGGCCGCACTGGCGTCTCGGGAGCAGCCGGAGTGCTCACCGCATTTCTCTGCCACAGGTGGAGGACTAAGCAGAACCTGGACTACTGCTTTTTAATGATGTACGCCCAGTCCAAAGGCATTTACTACGTGCAGGTGGGTTTGGGACTGGGGGCACAGGGCAGATGGTTTATGCGGGAGCTCACCACAAGGGGTGAAGAGAGCAGCCGGTCCTGTAATCTGGGTCTGAAAGCTGCCTTTGTGTCTGGCCTTGCTGCCTTCCTCTGACTAGCTGCTCTTTATGCATCTTTTACTTTGAACTGTATAATTTCCTTTTTGTTGATGCATAATCTTCCACTTGTGCTTCTGGGTGACTCAGTTTCCCTTGCCTGCTTGGGCTGAGCTTGCTAGGAGGTCCCTGCCTGGCCCTTGCCTCCTGCAGGAACAAAATGGGCTGCCTTGAAGCCCTGGTTGGCACGAGGCTGCGGAGGGATGAATCCTTTTGGAGGTACCTTTGGAGCAAATCGTGCACAGGGTCTCTTCCAACAGGTGCTTACTGCAGCCATGGGGAAGGTGTCATTTCCTTGTGGTGCTGGGAATAGATGCTGGAGATGTATCGTAGTCTGGAGCTGCAGGAAGGGCGGGAGGTCGGGAGTTGTTTACCCGTTGGCTTTGGTGAGAAGCAGCAGCTTGGTGCCTCTTCCAAAGTAAACCAGGTCTCCGCCAACCCTTGCCTCTGGTCCGTGCCCGATTGCCCTGCAGAGACCCAGTGAAGGGGACCTGGATGTGTCATTGGCACTGATGTCCTTTCCCTTTACAGCTGGAGGATGACATTGTGGCCAAACCCAACTATCTCAGTACCATGAAGAACTTCGCCCTGCAGCAGCCCTCCGAGGAGTGGATGATCCTGGAGTTTTCTCAGCTCGGATTCATTGGTAACCCTGTCCCTTTTTCACTCCTGTCCCAGAAGACACAGGCATTAAACACTTGCTACTTCTTGTAAGCAGTTTCACTCTTAATCCAACAAGCTGTTCCCCTCAGAGGGTAAAATATTTTTGCACTCTTTTACATGTATAAGGAATAAAGATCCTCAAAGTCACAATTGTCATTGCTGATACTCACTTTTAAAATAAACCGGGCTGGTGGCCCACCGAGCAGCCTCATAGCTTAGATGTGACCAGAAGTGTTTTTGGCTGGATGGGACTGAGAGTTGCCTAACAGTGTGCAAAAGGAAGTTTACATCAGCCCAGAACTATTTTGGGAACAGCAATAGATGGTTGCAGTAGCAGCTTGATCTGTTATTCTGGACACTGACTCGACTAGCTTAAAAAATCCAGTTCTTGGGGCAGGACATGGTCTGTTCTGCAGCCATCTGAAGGCCTTTCAGACTTATTGCTCTTGGCGGAATTTAGTTCTTTTGATTATCCTTGTGGCCCGCGAGACACCAGTTCTTTGTATAATGAGTATTAAATCCAGAGCTGTGCTGTGAGTGCCAGCAGTGCTGGGACATAAAACAGACCTGTGTATTATTTCATTTACGTTGAGAGATGGACATATCTAACCTCCCCAGGCTCAGCTTTTAATTCTTTGTCTTCCCGGCTCTGGTCCTTATCTGCTCTCTCTTCTCCCTCTCTGTGCCTGTAGGAAAGATGTTCAAGTCTCTAGATCTCAGCTTGATTGTGGAGTTCATCCTGATGTTCTACAAGGACAAGCCCATCGACTGGCTTCTGGATCACATCCTTTGGGTGAAAGTCTGCAACCCTGAGAAAGATGCGGTAAGCGAAGAAGTGCCCATGAAGGGACACCTTGTGTGCCTGTGCAAACACAGGCTTCATCTGCCTTCATCTTCAGAGGCCTTGGGAGGCCTTTGCAGGGAGCTCTGCTGCCAGCTGACTTAGTGTTGTGTGCTGCTGCTTTTATGGAACAGGCTGTGGGGAATCCTTATGGATCATGTGAAAAAAAAATAATCTGGGAGTTCAGCCTGCTGTAGTCTGCAGCTGTCAGCAGTGGCATTATTTCTGCCCCTCCGCACCGACAGGGTATCCCTGCAGAGCAGCAGGCCCCGTTCCTCTGTGCTGCTCTCAGTTCCAGCCTGCATCTCCCCCTGAAGCCGTTCCCTGCTCTCTGACTATAACCCCAGAATAAACCTCTGGCACTGCGCTCGTGTGCCATCCATGCAGCCTGCCTGGAGAACTCACCTCAGATGACCCCCGAGCAAGGCTGCCATGCCTTACCCATTGAATAGTGTGCCCAAATACTTACAGATCTTGTTGGAGTTTGTCTTTAGCTGGTAGGATGTGGAGAAGTGAAACGGGACCTTTTTTAATGTGGTGGTTCAGGCACCACTGTCTTGTCTGTGGCACAGTGTTTGCACGGAACCTTGCAAAAAAAAATAACAGCAACAAAAATATCTGTGCCCTACAGAGCTTGTGTTAAAGTCAGATATGAACAGCAATGGTAGGGACTAAACTGTGTGGGAAGGGCAGAGGAGGAGTGTTTGTGATCGCAAATGGAAGATGAGATCATCAGCAGATATTCTCCTGTCTGAACATATTGTATTTACTCATGTAATGGTTGTGTTCCCTCTCCTCCCCAGCAGAGAATGAGCAGCCGAGTCACGGTGGCCTAGAACAGACATCGTGGTTGAAACCAGTAGCATAGGCTGGACCTAGTGGCCACAGCTATTTTGTGGTGGCAAATGCCAGAACAAGTGGTCATTCTAAGGATAAATACTGTATTTACGTGTTGAGGGTGAACAGGGCGCCCTCGGGGTGCTGCGGAATTGGGGCAAGGATGCGGTTTCCTTTGGCTCGTTCCCCAGGGAGGCTGTGGCTGCAGCTCTAACCTCACACATGGTGTGGCCAGTCCCAGATGACATGGACTGTGTCCTGCCACTGCTGCGGGCCCTGCCCTGGGTCCCCAGGCCTGTCCTGGGCCCAAGGGCCCTTACTGCAAAGGGGCAACTTTGGGGCTGCAAGGGGATGAAGCTGGGATTTAAGCTGCCATCAGTGCCCCCCTCCCCTTCAAAGTCTTCACCTTGAATACCGATTTAATGCAAATCCTGCCGTGCAGCCATGTGAGCTCATCTTCTCCTACCTGACCAATTCCCTGCAAAGTTTTCCCAGAGGAATCTGCAAACCTCTTAAATTCATTGCTGCTTAAAAATTAACCTACTTTTACTATGGCTTTCTGGCTCCTTTCGCCACTGTTTGCATGATTAACTCTGCACAGTGCCCTTTTAAACATGACTTTCACTTGCAAATCCCACTGTGCAGAATCAAATTGGTAGCTGGGAGGATTTGTCTTTTCGATTGAAAGTTTGTTTGACCCGAGCTTTTGGTAAGTGCTTTGCCTGATCTGGATATAGTCTCTGCTCTTTTTTAACTAATTTTAGCTTTACCTGGGGTAGAGCTGTGTGAAAAGATGACCTTGTTACCACCAACTGAGCCGGTCCCCGTCCTGGCTTGAGCCAGCTTTCAGCAAACGCTTCTTTTACCAAAGTGGAAAAGGAGACATGGAAAATGTTTTAGCTCCTTCCTTTACCTTTCACTTTCTCTCCCCATCCAGAGGGAGATGACAGACCTGGCGTGAGCTCTCTGGGGTCAATTCTGTTGTTGCTGGCACCGGAGAGGGTCTCTCCCATTAGCACGGCTAGTTTTAATTTCCTAATGTAACAGGAGCGGGATTAGGGGATTATCTCCTCTGCAGCTTGCAGGGGCCATGCCTGGAGTCTCCTGGTGCTGCAGCCGTGACGGTGGCAGGTCAGTGTGGGCATCCCGTGTCCCTCCCGGTGCCCCTGCTCCAGCGCCGGCAGCGGTGGCAGCTCCGGGACTGGGGCTCTGCCCATGTCACTCCGCCGTGGGAGGCTGTGAGAGCAGATGGTGTTAGGGGGTGTGGGTGTCTTTTCTTGGAAACATGCCCTCTTCTTCTAGTTTTTGACCCTGTGTTTTTGTTCACATGCTAAGAGATAGAAACTGTTTTCAAAATGTTACTCCTTGGCCACTTAGAGATCTCTGTGCAGGATGCTGTGCTAAACTCATACTTCTTAATCCTACCTGTTTTCAGTATGTGAGACTGGTAAGAGCACAAAAAATTGACTTTACAAAAGGACCCCTAGAACTCCCAGCTCTGACTTCCTCTCTGCCCTCATGCTCCGTGTTTTTCCCCTGTGTCCCTTACTGCCTCTCCCTCTCCACCCTGAGGAAGGTCACCATGATAACGGCTGGTCAGGTGGGACTTGCGTTTCCAGGTCCATATGTTGGGATGGGTTCACACTAGCCCAGCTTCTCCAGTGCCACGTGGCACACATCTGCTAACAAAAACTACTGAGAAACTGAAAACTTTACTCAAATCCATCAAAGAGGAGACTGTAACTACTCATTTAGATTGTCAATTGTGCCAGAACTTATTGTAACTTGAGATACCGGAGATACCAAGAAGGAAAAAAGCTTTTCCAGTCAAAGCAAGGACAAAAGAAACTAGATTCCCTGTCTGTCTCTCCCTCAGCAAATCTGTAGGGGATTTGCTCATCAGGAGGATGCCAGGACTTGCTTGGCAAGGAGGACTTTGGTACTTGAACCTGTGAAGTACCAAAACTGCCCCCCAAAGCCCCATGGGTGACCAGCTGAGAGGCAAGAATAGATGCCTCCAAGTGTGATTGAAAGACCTCCTGTTGCCAAATCAAAGCCCAAATAAGTTAAAGATATAATGATAAACAGATAGATGGACATATGATGATGGATGGATGGATGGATGGACGGACGGACGGACGGACGGATGGATGGATGGATGGATGGGCGGGCAGGCGGACAGGGCTGTTTACCCCTGCTCTTTCCCCGGGGCTCTGGCCTTGCTGAGCCTGTTCCTTCGTGCTGCTTGGGCACCGCGGGGCTCACGTGCGGGGCGCTCTCGTTTCAGAAGCACTGCGACAGGCAGAAGGCAAACCTGAGGATCCGCTTCAAGCCCTCGCTCTTCCAGCACGTGGGAACCCACTCCTCACTGGCCGGCAAGATCCAGAAGCTGAAAGTGAGTACCTGGCACTGCAGTGTGATGCGCCTTGCCCGCCTGCAGCCGGCCTTTCTGCTCGGTGGGCAAGTTGTGGGAATGTTTTGGGATTGCCCTGGACTTGCACGTAGCTGCTTCATGTCAGCACAGTAATAGCGAGTACTGGATCTTGTGCTGTGGTCATTCCCCTCAGGGAGAGGAGACAGTGGTTCCTCTGCTCCTGTTTTCCACGTGGTTTTCTGGCACATTTAACAGAGCCATTACTTGGGCTCCTGCAGACTTAAATACTTTAAGAACATTTAATAAACTGCCCTCTCTTTGCCTTTCCCTCACCTAGCAGGAGTTTGAGTTCAAGGGCCCAAGCCAAGGGCTGGGAGCTGAGGGCTGTTTCCAGGGGAAGGAGGCATCTTACCTAGGAAGGACCCCCCCCCGCCCCAGATGTTTTAAATGGGCTGGAAGGAAACAGCTCCCCAGTCAGGAAATAAGGCCTTTTACTTGGGGAGGGCTCCAGTGTGGTTGTAAAGAGGCCAAGAGGGATTTTCCTGTCCTGCTCTGGCCAGATGGTGCTGGATGCAGCCGTGAGGACCCGAGCAACACGAGGCTGTGGTTACCAAGCCCCAGCTGAAAAGCCCCAGCAGGTCAACACCTGGGCAGTATCCCTGGTGCCTTCCCTGGGTGCAAAGGCTTTTGTTTGAACTGAAAGCTCCCGGGGCAGGGAGGGTTTCAGGCTGTTGCAGTTCGCTTGGCCAGTGAAGCTCTTCTGGTGCCAGTTCAGAGTGCTCAATGATGGTGCTTCTGTGAGCTTTGCTGCCTCTTCTGAGCTTTCATCCTCCTGGCATCCAGCTTCTAAAATTTGTCTAGATTTCTAGACAAATCTGGTGGCTTCCCCAAATCATTTCCATCCCTCTGCACAGTGCAAATGGAGAGCTTTTTGCATGTGTTGCCTTGTTGCTGGAACCCCTCTTGGTCGCAGGTTGGAAGCAGTTCTTGATCCTTCTCTGCCTTTTGCTTTGTGTGCCTTGAGGACAAAGACTTTGGCAAGCAGGCACTGCGGAAAGAGCACGTCAACCCTCCTGCAGAGGTGAGCACCAGCCTGAAAACCTACCAGCACTTCACCTTGGAGAAGGCTTACCTGCGAGAGGACTTCTTCTGGGCCTTCACCCCCACTGCAGGAGACTTCATCAGATTCAGATTCTTCAAACCGCTCCGCATCGAAAGGCCAGTGTCTCTGGGGCTGGGTGGGAGAGACGCTACATGCAGAGATAATTCCCTTTTGCTCTTCCTACTCTTCCGCCTGTTTCTTGCCCTTCTTCGTGGCTGTTTGGCTCCTCCAGGAGCAGCTGCTTTGGCCAGGGGAGGATAATTTGGCCCGTAGTGTTTGCAGCTCCTGTGCATTCCAAGACCTTGCACTTCCCGTGCTTCTAAGCCAACCATCCAGGATTTGCTAAGCTGGCTCAGGTGGCCTTTCAGACTCCATAGGGGAAGGGCAAGGTGCCTGTTAGACTGGGCTGGCTGATGGCTCGCCCAGAGTGGAAGGCACCATGTCCCTTCTCAACCTGCTCTTGGGTTTCAGTGACTTTGGTCTCTGTTACAGGTTCTTCTTCCGCAGCGGGAACATCGAGCACCCAGAAGACAAGCTCTTCAACACAACAGTGGAGGTTTTGCCATTTGATGTACGTGCTTTATCAAACATCGAGGTGGTGGGGAGAAAACAGGGTGGAAACCCAAAGGCTGCTGCGAGTCGCCTCCAAACGGCCAAGGGTGCTCGTGGGCAGGGGCTGCTCGGGGCTTATCCCCATTGCTCGGGGTTGCGGGTGGCTCTTGCTTGTCTTGGGTCCCAGCACTCAGCTCTTGGTGCCGGCTGCATCGAGCTGCTCCCTTTCCCGCAGAGCCTGCAGTCGGATAAGGAAGCCTTGCAGGAGGGACGTGGCACGGCCTTCAGATACCGCAGGACACCGGACGGCTACATCCAGATAGGTGGGTTCGCTAACGCGCGCCCGAGCCTGAGCCGCAGGCAACTGACACCATTAGTGCTGTTTGCCTCAAAAACAGGCACAGACATTAACAATAATTTTTTTTTTTGCTTGCCAGGAGTCAGATTGGAAGGGGTTTTAATCATTGCCTGCTCCGCTGTAGGGCCCTACATCCTTCCCTCTGAGACTAGGTGTCATCTTTAGTTAATTCTCAGCCCTACATTTCTGCCTGCCTCTGCTCTGAGGCAGGATCAAATATTCAGATTACCCATAAAAAAGACATTTGTTTGACCTGTTCTTAAAATCCTCCACCACGAGGGAAATTCGGCACTCTTCTCCTCTAGGCTGTTTCAGCACATACGATGCTTGCAGCTTAAAATACTGCTCCTGATACTTGATTTTGTTTTATTTCCTGCCCTTGGACAAGAGCAATCGATTGTCATCCTGCCGCGATGCATTGTAAAGAGCTCGTGTCCCTGCTAAGACTGCTTTTTTTTTTAATAGACAAATAAAAAAGTCCCTGGAATTCACAGCTTTTTGCCTTTTCAGCATTCTCCATCATGCTAGCTGGTTTCGCTCAGCTACATTTTTTTTTTCAAAATCACTCCCAGCATGGGACACAGCAACACGCTGAGACTTCGCTAGTGCTGTGGAAATAACAGCTGCCTCCTGCAATGGTCCCGCTCACGTTTTGCCTCCTGAAATGCTGGTGGTCTCCCACAGGTCACTGGACTACAGTGGTGCTGCATTTCAGTGCGCTCTGTCCTCTGTCACAGTCCTGATCCATAGCGAAATAGTTCCCATTCTTTATTTTTTTTCTGTGTTTTTTTTCCTCTTTTCTAAGTGCAGCATTTTGCATTTTACTGAAAGCCACAGTTCTGATTTTTCAGACTGTATCTCCACTTACAGCAATCACTCATATACATGACCAGAGTTTTAATTCCCTGGGGAGAGAGGGGAAGTCACTGCAGTTACTCAGGGTGTCAGTCTCAGCCCATGTCCCTTCCCAAGCAAACGGAGTCCAAATGCCTGGATTCCTTGTCTTGGGCTTGGAGAAATGCTTCCTAGGGTGCTGAAGCAGGGAGGAACAAAAAAGATCAGCACTATCCATCAGGAAGGTGCTGGAAAATCCGTGTTTCACCTGTTTACCTCTCTTACCAGGCTCCTTCTCCAAGGGCGTTGCGGAAGGAGAAGTGGACCCCTCGTTCGGGCCCTTGGAGGCAATCAGGCTGGCCATCCAGACCGACTCCCCGGTGTGGATCATCTTGAGCGAGGTAAACAGGGCGCCCCGGTCAGAAAAAGGGCAAGATCTGGGCCAGCTGCTCCAGAGCGAGGGCTGAGGCTCTGCTCTTTCTGCCTGACCTGTTGCCCTCAGACCAGAAGCTACCGGGAGGCAGCCAAGGGCTTGCGGCAGGAGCGTCTCTTTCCATCAACCTTTCTCCGCTATCTTGTATTAAATCCTGCCCCTATCGTGCACGGTTACTGTGCTGTGCTTACCCGAGCCTGACTGCTTCCTTCTCCTTCCAGATCTTTATCAAAAAAGCGGAGTGAAAGGCCCATGACCACGAGCGGACACATGTAGCTCCCCGCTCTGTCTCCCTGCCCTCCCTCGACACCCTCCCCCGGGTCTGCAGCCCCGGGGCGCCCGCTGCGAGCCGAGCCAGGGGCGCACAGCACCCACCTCAGCATCCCGGCACGGTTCGGGAAGAGACACAGCCCTTCCTCAGGAGGAAGAGCAGAAGACAAAGAGAACAAACCCCACCGGCGGTGCAAAGGGTGGGTTTTGCTGCCCCGGGCTCTGCAGGGCCCGTTGGCGGCAGGATGAGCTTTAACAAGCGCGGAGACTTGAGAGCATCTTCAGCCCGGGACAGGGCATCTCCAGCCTGGAAAAGGGGCACCTCCAGCCTGGAAAAGGGGCATCTCCAGCCCGGGAAAGGGCAGCTCCAGCCTGGGAAGGGGGCAGCTCCAGCTGCGTCCTGCAGCCCAGGCCCCGCGGGGCATGACAGCGCCAGGCACTGCCCTGGGCATTGTCCGGCCACCGACGGAGCGCGCGGAGAGACAGAGCCTCCCGCGGGGCCGAGCAGAGAGGAAGCCGGCAACGCCGGGGGTGGGTAACGCTATGAGCATGGCAGGGAAAAAAAATAAAACTAAAAGCCACACTGTGCCTGCCAGCATTGAACACAGCCCCTTAACTCATGGTGAAGTCTCCAGCGTCTTCATGCCTTGAGACTGAGTGCAGAATCCAGCTTTTTAAAGTAACTCTTTCAGTTATCGATGGGTGTGAACTTTTGGAAAAAAAAAGAAAAAAGAAAAAAAAAAAGAAAAAAAAGTAGTCCAGTTTGAAAATAGTAGGGATTAGTGTAATATTTCAGAACAGTCTTCTGAGATCCCAATGTCTCTTCAGCTATACACTGGAATGCGTTATACTACTTCAATGTGCTGTATTTTTTATTATTGGATACATTTGATTTTTCAAGTACATCTCTATATATAAATATATAAAACGACGTGCACTGTAATAAAAGCTAAACCTAAACCTCTGGCGCGGCAGCGAGCGAGCGTCCCTTGCGGCTGGGATCTCCCTCCCATGCGGTGGGAAGGGCCGATGCAGCGGGAAGGGCCGATGGGGCGGGAAGAGGCCGCTGCGCTCCGGAGGCCACGGCCGCTCCTAGGAGACCCAGAGGAGGCGGAGGCGGCGGCCCAGGCCCGTGCTGGCCACCATGGCGCCCAGGGGCAGGAAGTGGCCCAGGAGGCCGGTGACAGCCAGGCCCAGCAGCAGCCAGAGCAGCCGGGCGCTGGCGTAGAGCGGCCCCAGGCTGCGGGGAGACGGCGGCGGCCGTGAGCCCCGGCGGCGCCGGCAGCGCCCGCGCGCCCCAGCCCCGTACTCACCGCGCGCGCGGCGCCCGCGCGTAGCCGTGGAAGTACTGCAGGCGGGCGCAGAGGTAGAGCAGCCCCGCGGCGGCCGCCGCACCTGCGGGGACACGGCCCGCAGTCCCTCCCGGCAGCCCCCACGCCGCCCACAGCCACTGCTGCCCCTCGGGAGCAGGGGGGGGTTCCCTCCTTTACCTCATTTTTATGTATTTGCCCCCCAGTCCCTGGGTTGTGTTTGCCCCGCTCAGCCCAGCCTCGCTGCAGTCCCATCCCATGCCATGGGATGGCCATGACATGGACGGGGAGCAGCGGGACGTGAGTGAAGGGTCCCCCCTCTTACCTTGGTGGAAGAAGATGCCGGCCACCCAGAGCAGCGAGACGAAGATGGGGAAGTACTCGGAGCAGTTCACCCTGGCGGGAGGCAAAAGCAGAGGCAAAAGGCGCCCGCGGGTGCTGGGGAGTGCAGCGGGTTTGCGAGGGCTCGAAACGGCGCTGGAGCAAAATGAGCAGCTCCGTGGTGGGCAGGGCAGCACCCTGGCTGGGAACAATCACAACCCACCGCATCCTATGGAAAGAGGAGCCCCAGAGCCACGAGCACCCACTGCCAAAAAGGTTCCCAAGAGGTGCCCAAGAGGTGCCCGGGAGGTATTTCGGGAGCGCTCCCTTCCCTTTGGCAGAGCACAAGCCGAATCGCGGCAGGACACAAGCCATGTGCTCCAAGCAGGAGGGTCCCGACGGCACCAGAGCGTCATGGCTGCAGCTGCACTCACTGCTTTCCTCTTCTTTCATTGTTTTCAAGTAACCAAAGTACTGATTTTCTGCCCCAAAATGGACAGGTACATGCTGGGAACTGCACTGCTCAAAACACAGTGATCTTGGCTTCCCAAATTCTCCTACAGCTCTACAGTTCCCTAGAGAATAACCTTAAATTTGGCTCCTCCAAAAAAAATAAATTTCACGAGGCCTTGGGGAGCCAGGGGGGATTGGGAGTTTAGGAAAGTTATTAAAGCTTTGGATGCTCTTGTACTTTGGAGCCACCATTAACATTAAGCTTATTTAATGACTCTAATGCATTGACACTGAGCACCTTTACCGAGTCTTCCCTATGGCTACTGATTTGTAATGTGTACTAATTGCCATTTGGCTGCCTCTGCTGGCGCAAGAATCCTCTTGGCTGGGCAAAAAGGAGGCACTGGGTGAAACACAGAGCCTCGGGAACGAGCATCACCTGCAGCCCCCCTGAGCTGCACCGCGCTCCGAGCTTACATCTGCAGCCAAATACATCTGAAGCCAAAAACAGTGGGGAATAAAGGCTAGCAAAGTGAATACCAGCAGCACTAAGAGTGAGATGGTGGTTTCACTCAGCCCTTCCCAGAAGCGGCAGCATTTCCCTCAAGTCATATCTAGAGGCAGCCCCCGTAATCGCAGAGTCAAAACCTTACTGAGCTCTGAAGATCCGCTCGAATTCGGGGTGCCCTGTTGTCTCCGGAGGAGAGATCTTGTACCTCCGCCTGGCAGAGATCACCTGCAGTGCAAAATAGGCTAAAAGAGAAACAAACGCACACGTTAAAGGTGACAGTCCAGCGGCGTCGCATCCAGACAAGCTTTATCAAGTCAGGAAGCACGCGAGTGGTTAGAGGAAGAGAGCTGATACCATCTAGGTTCACAGCCCAGCTCCATAAAAAAGGTGACCACTGCTGTACACTTTCACCAGAAACAGTGATTTTTGGCATGCAAGCAAACACCTAAACCCTCTCCAGCAAAGCCACGCCCAGAGGTCGGAGCAGCGTGTGCCGAGCTCGGATGAGCCCCATCTTCGTGGAGCCCGGGGTTGCTCTGTGTTCCGCAGGAGGGACAGGCAAGGAGCGGGGTTGTGGGGACACAGCTGCATCCTCTAACCAAGAAGTTAATGGCAGAGCAGCGGCATAGCTGAAGGAAAGCAGAGACAGATGTTGCAAGATTAAAGACCAGGCAGATCCATGTACGCCTACAGAAGAGCATTAGAGCATATGTAGAGGAAGGAGGGAATTAGAAATGTAAATAAACCGATGTTACGTGACCCAAGTATTGTAAAACACACTCTACATTTAAAAATACACAGAAAATAGTTTAAGAAAGTAGACACGAGTGTTCTCGTGCCTTGCACGCTGCATGGAGGAGCCCAGTCCTAAGAGCAAGTGGTGGCAAGAAGTGAGGAGGACCACGCTAGACACTGCTCATGGGGAGCACCTCGCGGGGCCTCCTCCCCTCTCCAGCCGACACACCATCCCTTCAGGGCAATTACCCTGTGTTTGCACAGCTCCAAAATACACCATGGAGCTATGGCACATGGATCTGGGTTGGGATGCAAAGGGGCACCGCGCAGTTGCCCATTGGCGCCGTGACCCCATCGGCTTTGCGCTCGGTGCTGCCCCGCTCGGCCAGGGCCAGAGCCACAGCGGCCACCTCAGAGGAAGAGTTCGATCCGTTCAGCCCAGCCTTCCAAACCCCCTCCTGCAGCTCCGCGGGCCCCGACACGCAGCGACGTTGCATAAGCCTTATTTCCTTTGAAACCATAGCAAAAAGGGGAAAGAAAAGCAGCGTTTCTGGCTGCGATGCTCTTGCAAGCATATGCTGGACATAATTAGTTTAAAAAGGGAGAAAGTCGTTAAGAGAATGGGGAAAGCCTGCGGACCCCCAAGCAGGGTATTTTGTGATTGCTCCGGTGCTTCCCAAGCACAACCCATGAGATCAGGCCACTTTGTCCCATCAAGCCCAGGTCGAGGGTACTGCATTTGCTCTCATGCCTGTGGGTTTGCAAAGCATTAAAGTACAAAATGCCTGGGGCTGTAAACATTAGATGACACAAAATTCTTGTAAAACAAGCATATATACTGAACCCAGACAGTAGCAATTCCGGGACGGGCTGCTGAGGGATTTCTCAGTGGAGGGGATCTGGAAACGTTTCTAAGACTTCCAGATTTAAATGTTGCTTCATGTCTTTTCTTCTGTTTGCGTATTTTCTTTCTGTTTGCATACACTTAGTTTAGCAATAAAGAAAAGATTTGTAAGGAAAAAAAAATCTTCCATTTGCAATTACGGCTATTTCTCTGTAACTTGTCTTGTAAACGTTCCTGATCAGACCTTCCCTTAGAGAAAGGTCAAGATTTTAATTTGCAAACTTACACTGTTCTATTAATTCTTACATTCTAGATAACGCTTATGTCTTGCTGAAAGAGATCACTCTTTGGCAGGAAATCTCAAAAAAGGAAAAACTTCTTATGGGGAATAGTCCCAAGGCCAATGAGGTGTGAAGTTGAAGCCAAACATGAAGTTAGAGCTCCCCAGGTGAGGTGTGTCTGGGAGAGGCTGGTGAATTGCAGCTTTTTGGCACCTGAACTCCACGGTTTCCACTTTGCTGAGCTCTGACACACAAGTTCGCAGCCCTCTTGCAAAGCGGCCTCTTCTGCAGAACGGAATTCAGAGCAATGTTGTAAGTGGGGTCAGAATCACTTTAGATCTCCTAAACGTGGTACCACAGCACTAAGCTCCCTAGTCCCACATGGGCATGTCAAATTCCCAACACAGTTCTCTACTCCAGCATAGCCACATCGGCAGTGACATGCAGAGCAACACAGAACAGTGAACTAAAGTGACATGCAAAACAGGCACATTTCAGCTCTCCCTGCTCATAGGCAGAATATAAAAAAAAAAAAAACAACACCATCTAGGCCAGGAACACACAACGTATTGCAGAGACCCACGCTATCAAATCAAAACTGTAAAGTTCAACGCAGCGCCCCTGCCTCTGCTGTCACAGCCCTGCAACACGTTCACGGGGATGCAAATATTGGGCTTAGGCACCAGATGCATCCTTTGGTCTCCCCCGTGCTGACCGAGGATGCCCTGGGGACCACTAGAGAGGGTGGCCGTTCTGGACAGGAGCAGTTTCTGCACCAGGTTCCAGGGAGGGAGGAATCCTGGATTTGTGCAGGATGCCAAGAGCGACCGTCGCATGTGCCCTTCCTAACAGCAAGGCACGAGCTCTCTGGGCATTAATTTTCATGAATTTGCACTCTTACCTCCATGACAGAAAAGTTTGACACTGGAACTCATTTAAAAACATATTCTAAAGCTAATTAACATGCACAGTTATGAACTCTCAAGAAATCGGTTTTATTCTTTATGAACAAATTCAGGAACATGAGTAAAACCTCTTTTCGTTACACAGAGACTTATGCCGCAGTTACTAGCAAATAATCAAACTTAAATGGGCATCAGCCTAAGACTCTTATCTCTAATTTCATTATCCCGGGAGTGACACCAGCTCTCGCCTCTCACTTAATAATCTTCCTTGCTTAAACCGCTCAAACACTTGTAGTTGGTTGTAGTCTGCCCGTCATTCTACTCTCGTTTTAATCATTACTGCTCAAATTAAGGCATCTTGGTTTGCAATACTAATTAAAGTCTACTTGTTTCAACCTTTCATGCATCTCTGATGGTACAAAACACGTTCCAAATGGAAAGCTGCAAGTGGAAACCCTGCAAAGGAGAGGTAAAGGTTTGCAGCTCTGTTAGGCAGTGCTGGAGCTATCACACCGGTCCAGCTTGACGCATTCGTTTCCAAATTGCTCAAGGTTGTCAACACCTTCATTTGTCACATGCTCAGCACAACTAAACTACATGAATTAACCAAACACTGAGCACAAATTCTTGCACACTTCGAGCTCTTTTCCATATGCATCCTTGTCTGTATGCATTCCTGTCACAAACTATTCATGTCTGCACATGCTTTCGCACTCTGACTTCTCATCAGTGCAGCCAACTGCAAGAGAACGTCCTTGCTCAGCTTGCCTTTATTTTAGCTACCTGCAGCGATGTTAAACCTCATAAACTACCAGCTAAAATTCATAGAAAATGTTTCACCTTAAAAACCTTGAATTGTCGGAATTGTCCTAGGTTTACAACTAAAACTTAACTTTCAGTTCCTCGTGGGGCACAGGCTTTGAGGCTTGCAAATCATCTTGGCCCCTGTGAAATAATGAATTTCATCACGCGTAACACAGCCAAAAGGAAGAGCCAAGTAATTTGCATTATTTTACCATGCTAAACAAAGGCGTTTTTCATCCTCAGGCACTACGAGCACAATATAGGATCCAAGCACGGCAAAGTTGAGAATCATGTAATGCTATGTGGGGCACATAAAGGACATTTACCTTGCTCCAGGACTCCCAGGACGGTGACAGTGGCGAGCAGGTCGATCTGATTTCTCATGTTGCTCACTAGTGAGTGGCCCAAAACACCAGTCAAGCGCAAGGAGTGTTGGAGTGCTAATTCCCTCTGCCAGCCTCCCACTAAAGCACGCTCTGTAGCACAGCCTCCTCGTTGCCCTGCAGCAGCACGTGCTTCCTGCACAGCATTAACTCTCCCCGTGCCACAGAACCGTTTTCCACAGCAGAGCCAGGCTCCCCAAACACTCAGTCAGAGCCAGGTTGCTCTTGCTGAACTTTCCAACAGCTGCTGCTTTGGGTGCTCAACAAAACCGCAATTTTATTTACAGATTTTTCTACTGTGTCAGAATGACTTATGTATTACTGGCAATTTAAAAATGATGGAGCTTTTTCCAACTCTTTATTACTAGCTTTAATCAATTCTAAAGCATCTAAGCTATTTGTGAGATTGTAAAGGAAAAAATTAATGAGCATTTAGAAATTAATGACTTGGCCTACTCCTATTCTGAGGACTGCGTTGACCTTACAACAGATCTATACGTTAATTATAACACTTTAATTCTGTTATTGGATTTTTTAATTTTTTTTTAAAGCTTTCACATGATAAGCCCCTTAATTGGCTGCTTCTGTAAATTCACCAAGTAAGAGTACAGTCCTTGTTGAGTGCTCAGTCATTTTCTGCAGTTTTCTGGGGATTTCAAATTCTCCAGAAGGAACATTTTCCTGGCTTTTAAAAGGCTTTTAAAAGCACAAGAGGACAGCATGGGTAGCATGCAAAGGCTGTAGAAACACGCTGACCTTCAGAAATGTTAAACTGACAGTAGATTAAATTGTAAAATGTAAAGCTTGAAAAGTAGAAAGACCATAGCCCTCTATATCTCTTCTCCCTAGCCCACAAAGAAAAGATACCTATCAGTTAAAACATGAGCAAACTTGCTCCAAAACACAGTATATAGATAAAAGGCTATTCCGACTTCAAAGTTTTGGACCCTAAAAAGAGGAAAGGGGTATTACTCATTACCAGCCTAGGTTTCTCAATCTAACTTTCTGTCCAATTCTCCATATACACAGTCATCTCGATACAGAATTTGTACACGGCAGCAGCAAGAGATTTGCACTCTAGATGATGGAGATTTTACTTCTCTTCTAGATCTTCATTCCCCAAAAAACCCACTGTGACACCTTACCAAGTTAAAATCTTTCCAGTTAAACACACATTATGTACACATTTGCAAAGCAACAGGGTAAAAATAAAAAGTCTCTCCCTACCTTGGTAAAATACTTGTGCAATGCAGCTTTCTTCCCTCCAGTCTGCTAGCAGACCCAGACTGGAGGTTAATTTTATATTTCTATTTAACGACATCATGTCATCAAGCCTACCTCTGCTTACACCATCTCCACAACCCGTTCAAGCTTGGGGATCACTTACGTTATGGATTTGTAACAGCCTCAGTACATGGAGAAGGAGGAAGTACAAGTAAGGGACGGGGGGGGGTTGGTTTCACAGCAGAGGTTGATCACAAGCTGCCACTGACTCCTTAATATCCTTAGAAGAACCTGCAGGTGCAAATGTTCTTCAATCTGATAACATATCGTGAAGTTTCCATTTTACTCATCCCAGTAAAACACCTTTAAAGGTGTTTTAATATGACAATATGGCAAAAATAACACTATAACAGTTCCCAATGGCTACGAGTGCCCCCCTGGTATTAGAACTTTTTATTACATTTGATTCTTTCTAACCTTTTCAAGTTGCGCTCTCCCTCCTCCCTCCAAACACAACTCAAAAGGTGGAGAAGGAAAAGTGCTCGGGCAATTTGGTGTGCACTTTGTGGAAAGGGTTTGAAATCTCCAAGCTGGGGCACTGAACACCACAGCAATGCAGACACCCACTTCAGTCTGCATCTCGGGGAAGGATCTTTCAAGTGTTTGCAGATGATTAGAACTCTTACCATGCAGAGGGATGGCTGAAGTTGCTCTAACGTGGAAGATGGACACAAGCTTGGCAAGAAACACCTCGGCTACACTCTGCAATTTTTTTCTTTATCGCTATTGCTCTATCTGTGGTTGGAGAGAGATATTTGAGGTGCTGGTTTAGAACTGCAGAAGACCAGATACAATCAGTTGAAAGTAACACTTGACAAACAGGAAATGCTACATAAAAAGAAGAATTTTTAGGTCTGCATCCAGGAACATGATTCAGACTGTTTGAAACGCTCAAGTCATTGGAGTAAGCCATCAAGTAATAAATTGATGACTACTTGATAATGACAGGCACACATTAACATCCAAACTTACAGCAGTGAAAACTAAAGTACCTTGGACATGGATGGGGCCAAAGATTTCTGCTTTACTTCTATTCTCAACACACACAAGCTCTATCTTAACAGAGGCTCAATAAATCTAACGAAGTCTGAAGAATATTTTGGAATATCTTTTTCTCCCACATCTTCTTCAGGCCATCATCAACCCCGTGCAGGGACTTGGTGACCTTTATGTGTCAACTTCAGCCCCAAAGCCTCGGGTCACTTGCTGCCACCTACTTTACTCTTGCTCAGAAACATTAACCTAGGCTTGCGTGTGTCTGACTTCTCACTTCTTTTTTGTGTCATCTGCGTACTTCAGACTATCTTTGTCTTTTTGCAAATCTCATGGAAGTAAATTTGAATCTTTAAGCCTAGATATTTTGAAGGAATCTGAGTATTTCTGGGAACTACCTGTGATTTTGCACATGAGAGTTCTGAGAAACTACTGATACCTTTCTCATCTTAAATTCAGAAACAGGAGTAAAATAATGCTTAATAACAAGTATCATCTGCAGATATATTACCTAGCTTGACAACTTCAATTGCATTAAAAGACAACAGTCAAGAAACACCAGACACGGCTTAAAGTTAAGCCTCGTTTTCGAAATAAAAATTGAAGCCTGTATTTTAATCCGGTATTATCCTGTTTAAATGGACTTTCTGATATCACAGAAATCAGTAGGACATGGCACAAGAATATGAGTATCTGGCTCACCAGAATTCCGTGTTGGGATGAAGGAAACCACCTCACTAGGAACAAGGATGCAGAACTCTGCTCAGTTCACACAAATGTATAAAGTCACACCGTATGTTTAATACACTAGCAAAATATTTATTTTATAATGATAAAACAGAAGTGAAGGATTTTTTTTGGTGTGCACCAGTAATTGTAGTAAAAGAAAATAAGGGGATTAATGGACTCTTTATACATTTCAATGACAAAAAAAATCATAAAGGTTAGCAAATTCAACTGTTCTCCATTTACAAGCATAAAACTTACCATAATACCCCCCCAAACACATATATAAAGAATTATAGTTTTAAAATCTATAAAAAGTAAAAAATATACAGTCAGAAGATCTAACTCTTATTCAAATCTTTAATATAAAATTGTAAACATTTATTTACACAAAGGAAATGTGTATAACAAAATTTTGAGCACCCTTTTCAATTGAATTGTGGTTTTTGGAAGGCAGTGGATGTTGCACAGTGACACTCTCACCTTTCCCACCCAACCAAGACCGCAGTTTATAAATAAAGCCATGGGCGGCTGGCTAGGTAAAGTTCAGGGGAGCTACATTTTATTGCTCTGAAGCTGCAGCAAATGGAAAGCCCAAGTGCATAAACAGAGAGCTACACGGGAGAGGGCAGGAAGGCAAAGCCCAGCCCTATCCACGCACCTATATACATCTAAACCCCATTTTTATTTCTATTGAACTGTTTCAACATTGTTACAGTGATACCGTGTTTTTAATAGCCTGATTGTACGATGTGGACAGGGACCAAGAACAGGAGTCAAGGCTGTTGTTTTTCCACCAGGTTAAATGCTGTTAGGAGCCTGTTCACATACGGAGACCGATGGGCATTACAAGCCAGTTTGCCTACAGTCGCACTTCAACTTGGCTCGACAGGACCGCGACCGCCGCGGACACGGCCCCGTCATCAGATCTAGACACCCTCCTGAACAAACCCTCTGGTCAAGCAGGGCAATATCCACCTTAACTTCCAGAAACAGAGGAGGAAAAAGTACATCTGCCTTTCCTGGACATGGAGCTGGATTGCCTTTTTGGTAGTAGCAATGCAAAGAGCAGATGTTCTTTCCCTCCAGGTATGAAACCGCAACTGGATGGATTGTATTTTAACTTATTCAGAAATATCATCTGTGTGCAAAATCTACTGGAGAATGTAGCAGATCTCACCACAATCTAAAGAGGGAGGAGAGAAAGTCTGAGGCCTGCTATTTCTGAATTCTGAATATTTCTGAGTCCTGTTATTTCGCTGAAGTGTTTGTCAAGGGGAGAAAAAAAAGTGACACTACAGGGTGTCACCTGAAATTATGAGGTCCCAAGCACCCCCAAAAGGAAGGGAAGGCACACTGGTGCAAAGTTAACCCTTACAAATAAAAATACAGCAAATACTCCTTCCCCTGCCATTGCTAGTTTATCTATACTCTTCTAGTGACACTTACCTTGGACCAGTTTTTGGTTTAATGTAATAGTAAACCAAACTCACTAGCTCTTTTTTTAAAGATTGACAGTATAAGAAAAATTAGCATCATTATTTGCATATCAACTACTTATTCTAGAAAATATCAGAAGTGTCAATAACCAAAGTCACTAACACTTTCGTTTCCCATCCAAGGACAAGCTGTACGTTGTCTTTCCGAAAGCTCTACGAGGGAATAAGTCTGCTTCAGTGAGGTTGTATCCACTCTTCAATGGTGGCAACCACTGATCAATGCACATTTTCACCAACAGTTCAACATAGTTCAACATGATACAAGATCAGATCTGTTTAACAGAGCATCACTGATTCACACTAGGGAAGTGTACAGGACAAACCATGTTCCATGCATATTTGGAAAGGGATAAAATATTAGTGTTAAAAGCAGGTTTTTGAAAGTGCAAATTGTCTGATAAAGAAGCTGCAGATACAGTAAAATATTTTCCTTCTTCGAATTCAATGTTATCCTTCACTTTCCCTCTCCCATTCTGGAAAAAAAAAACCCTCTCATTTCTCTGCAGTGCAGAAAACTCCTGCAGAAGCCAGTCTGTGTTGAAGGAAATTGCTTTTAAATCACAATGCTAGGTTTGGTTAGAAAATTTAAGGGAGTTTTCAAAAAAAAAAAAAAAAAAAAAAAAAGTGGATATAGAAAGGGAAGAGGTATTTGTGCATTCAAAACAAAAGCTTTCAATTTTATTTTCATTTTAAAACAAACGTTAAGGCAAGGTGGTTTGTTGGTGAATCGGGGATTTTTTGGTAAAGTAAGGACTTTGGAACACTGACTGTTGCCGCTGTGTTCTCATCCTTTCTGGGACAGACCCCAACGTGTGAACGAGAGGGTCTCCTTGGGCCAAGCTGAAGAACCAGCATCTGCTACAAAGGATATTAAAGTAAACCCACCTGTCAATAGAAAGATTATCAAACTCACGACCCTTTTTTTTTTCTTTTTCTTTTTTTTTTTAAAAAAAAGGTATTTAAAGGGGGAGACTTCCATATTGGAGCAATCCTGACAACAAGTACTCCCAGGCTGCCTGTGCTATTATTGCTGATAAGGACTTTTCACCTCTCATCAGCCAAATTCATTTCTCCTCATTTTATTCTGAAGTGACAAAGTCTTGTGCTCATGTCGCCACTGGTAACTTTTGGGAATTAACTGCTCTCAAAAGTTAGTTCTACTTTTTACAACAAAGAAACAACAAGATGAACTGTCATGAAGCAAAGCCTTCATTTAAATACAACTACCTTTGGAAATAAGTTATGAAGAAACAGGTGCAAAGTAAATGGCTTTACAATTCATGTTAAACCTACTATAGTTTAAAAGTTCTCCCATAAGAAATTCCCCCTTTAAACACAGCAAGGTATAAGCCAAGAACTGTGCCCCTCTAAAACAGAGTGCAAACTGCAGCTTAAAAGACTACAATCTATTAAGAAGACTACCTAGGCTAACTGGCCAGGTTTTAATACTTTCTTTCATCTATCACCAGCATCTAGGAACATTTACCATGAAATATCACTTGCTTATTGATTGAGAGTACAGGCACACGCTTCGGCGATGAAAAAAGAAACAACTGAAAACATCTTGCAAGTGTGCTCAGTTGCATACACCCTCTTCTCAAATAAAAAGTCAGAAGCCTGATGGAAAGCACTGTAATAGCACGTCAAGCTATGGACAATAACGATCGCAAGTATTCGCTGCAGGAGACTAAGCCCTAACCACAATTTGTGCAACTATCTGCTTTCTTTCTGAACTATTTCTGTGGAATTCCATTTTTAAATAATTAAAAAATAATAATTTCTCAGAACACTGCAAGTGAGATCTCTGAAAGGCTGGCTAGGACGCGCACAGCGCTGCTTGACCTGTTCGGCTGTGCGACAACCTGGAGACATGAGGACAAACCGCACGACTCCTGCGGAGCTGCCTGGGCGCGCCGCGAGCACGCGGCCACGTTCATGGAGAAGCAGCTCCAGTCCCTTTCCCAACCGTTTACCTCTAATGCCAGCAAGTCTCCTCAATGCCACAGGTTTTTTGGTCCAAGTGTCATTTATATTCCATGAAATAATTAAAAAAAAATACCCCCCGCCCCATTTTAATGAGTTCCTAACAACTCGTCCAAATCATTCATCCACTCCTCTGAAGTCCTGTTTTTGAGCAAAGAGTCTATGAGATCTGTGTCACCAGTTAAGTTCTGAAGTCCGTTATTGCCCGACTGGCTGCTGTAGGCAAAAGGCAGCTCTTGGCTGGTTGTCCTCACTGGGTACCCTTGGCTACAGTGCAGATTACCCCTGTTGGGCAGTTGCTGATTTGGATTCTGGTTGAAAGCAGCCAGATCTGGAACAGTCTGGTTCATGCCGGGCAAGACTTGCTGCGAGGGCACCTGCTGCTGCGCAGGTGGGTTTGTCCTCTGCTGCGCGCCTAAAGACGACGACAACATCTGCCCAGAGACAGCAGCGTTCATGGAGGTCATGGGTCTGCTGGTGCTTAGGCTTACCTGAGGCATTCCTTGAGCAAACTGCTGGTTGGCCATCTTTAGATGAGTTTGTTGCATGTGGAAAGAGGAGCTGGCAGTAAATGGTCCTAAGCCACCATTTCCTTGCGTCTGGCTGTTAATATTAGGGATACCTTGGTGTTGCCAGGATGGATTTTGAGCTCCCATAGCAGCCGGTACTCTCGCCATCTGCGGCTTAGATAAAGTCGGGTTCAGTGCCCCTTTATTGTGCTGCTGAGAAATACTCGAGTTTGCTAAGGTGTTCTGCCCGTAGGCGGCAGGAACGGCAGCGCCCTGGCCCAAGGTGCCCTGTCGCTGCAGGGCCGGCTGCCCGCTGGCGCTCTGCTGCGGAACCATCTGTGGCAGCCCCGGTGCCAGGTTGTAGAGGCCCCCGCGCTGCATGTTCTGCAGGCTGTTATACTGGGTGACAGCCCGCTCCTGCGGGCCGGAGCCCGACTGCAGCGGCGCCACGGAGCTGTGCCCGCCTCCCATCGGGATCATGTTCTGCGTCTGAGGAAACATCCGCGGGCTGCTCGAGTTGGACTGTCCTAAATTACTTACCCCAGGCATGGCTGAAGATGACCCTGAAACACAAAGAAATGTTCTGTATATTAACTGTTTCGGTTCAGCTAGAGCCAGGCGAGGCCCATTGACCCTTTATTCCAGCAAGGAGGTGCAGCCACCTTTAAACAAACACATTTCTGGAACTGACATCAGCACAAAGTGTCACCTGCTGCAACAGTTAGCAGCTGAGTTGATCAGCTACAACATCCTAAAAAATTTCAATGTCACTTCTTGAAGTTATTCTGAAAAAATAGTCAGCATTATTCTGGAAAAACAAACAAGTTCGAAAGTAGGACTCCACTGTTTCTTCGTGTACAGAAGTGCACACACACACACATTTACTTCAAAGTACATGCCCAATACAACAGGCTCTTAAAAACACCTGAGTGCACAATACAGTCAGTTATTCTGTGCACATACACTGTATCACACACTGTACCACTGTGGTATTTCCAGTCCTACATTTTCCTAATTCCAGAAAGTTCTTCTGCTTTGTGTAACTTTCAGCATTTTTTTTTCAAGTACCTTTGGCTTTTCCATGATGAAACATTCACTACGATGATTTGCAAAGACCGATAATCACATAGGGTGATTTGCAAAAATAAATCAGCTCAGCAAAGCAAAGAGACACCAAAAGACCTTTGCCCTTGTCAACCCTGAGTAAAAAATGTTGCTGCAGAACAGAGAGCCCATGTACTAAAAGAAACAAATGGGAGATAAGGGAAGGGCACAGAAAAGCCTGCGATATTCATTATGGCAATGACATGCATTTTAACAGACTTGCCCCTGTATTTTTGGGAAAAAAAAAAAAAAAAAAAAGGATGCTACTTATCACAGTTATCACTGTGATAGCTTCTGGGTATTCTGTTAGGTAAGGAGTTTTGAGTTTTTTTTCAAACTGCTCTCTAATTCTTCCACATTCATGATACTATTTTAGCTTAACAGTAACAACATCTTTTATTTATCAATATTAGTATACTGAATACATAGCAAATTTCTTCTACAAAACACCCACACAGGATACCAATATGTAATGAACAGAATTAAGAGCCTGCATTCCCCTCTAAAGATAGGAGAAGTAAAAGCATTAAGGGTTTAAATTTCATCCTGGTAAGTGAAGGCAATAATAAATCATGTATCTTTTGTTAATGAGGGTCTGCAGCAAATACAAGCAGTAGTGATGTTAGGTTTCAGAAAGACAAAATCCTAACATCACACAAATGCAAGGAAGTTAGAATTTACAGTCTGCAGAGTGAAGGGGTGATACAAAAAGACCTTTAGAAAAAAAAAAGATACTTAAGAATTATTCCCAGTTCCAAAGCAAAATTAAGGAATCAGCAATATAAGCTGACCTAAACAAGGTAGCAGGAACAAAAGGGGCTATTTTCAATTGAATCACGGTGTGGTTCAAAACATTATGGCATATTGACACAGCATTTGATTAATTAAAAGCCATCCAATTTGGGACCTTTCAAGGCATTGTGCTTTTAGCCCTTAAATTTCTGTTGGCTACTAATTCCACTGCCGCATATGCTCACCTGTGAACTGCCCAACCTGCTGCTGATAAGGATTCTGTGGCTGATCCTGGTACTGGGGAGGTGGCCGAGTCAGGTGCCGCTGCAGCTGCTGCTCTTGCTGGTGCCGCTGTTTCTCCTAGGAGAGGAGAAGCAAATACCAGAGAATTAGCAACAAGTGAAGCCATTTTTTCCAAGAGCATCTCTCTTGGATAAGGATCAAGAGGTGTGCATACTTTCACGAAGAGCTGGTTTCGGCAGCATTAAAAAGTTTTTCTTCCCCACCTCCCAAAGTTCAAACAGTCAATTTAGTCCAATAAAGAACAAAACTAGGAACTAGAAGAAAGTAGCATACATTACAGAAGCTATTGCAATGCACATCTGAGTCCTTCAAAACACTGAAAATATCTGGAATATTAGCCTTTTAATCAGTAGTACACTCTGTGGATTTTCAGAAATCCTTTAAAGACACTAACTGGCACAAAGTAAGGGAGAAAAAGTGAGTATATATAGAAAAATTCATGCACATTTTTTGCTCCTTGTCCCCATATCATATTAATAAGATACATAAAGGCATTATAAAGAAGTTTTAAATCTTTGGTGAGAGGGAGATGGTGCACAGGTGAGAGTGCATGAGACTGCGCTATCAAGATCTCAATGTGCTGTTAAACAGGCAAAATGCTGTTTTTACAACATAAAGGGCAGCCTTTCTGACTTTTATTCCAGAGATGAGATTTCATCAGACTAGATTTTGGGAAAACTAAGAAGTGATGCAACAGTCAACTGCCTATTTATCTAAAACATTGCACAGAGGGCATAGAAGGGGACAGAAATTCCCTTCCAAGAATACTGGAGTGAACAAGCAAGTATCAAGCCTTTAAAAAAAGGACTAGCACAGTGAAGCAAGTAGGTAGATACAGGTCCCTACTGTGCTTTTACGATGTCTACAACTAGGAAGCTGTTGAGACATGCAGAGGAATGAAGAGCACAGGCTCCTTCACAGGAGGGACCTGAAAACCAGTCAAACCTGAAAGGGGCTGACCACAGAAGCTGGGGAGAGATGCCACAGATGTGCAAGAAAGCACGAACTGGGGATGTCGGCCTCAGCGACACGGAAAGGATGCACAGCAGCAAACACAACTCAACACAACTCTAAAGCAAAAAGCTTTAGAGGGGCAGGGAAAGGCACTGAAGATAGTGGAAACCACAGTTCTCTTGCAAAACAGAGACTAAATGTTTCAGAAGCCTTTTTGCAGAACTACTTCCACTATCCTAAGTATATCTCATCAGATGAGAACACTAGGACGTTCTAGACAGTGCAAGATGAAGAATGAAACTAAGGCAGTATCCAAGTCTGCTCAGCTCCAAATTAGGAAAAGTACTCAATCTAGTCTTAGTTAGAACTCAAGTATCACACATAGTCACAAAAGAGATGAGCCAGGACTTGTCCTAACTATAGTCCCACAATGCTGCAGGCTCGCCTTATTCAAGATTTCACATATATTTACAATCTGGAGGAGAATGTCATTTCCTCTTTTCTTAAATAAAGCTTCTAAAAGACCACTGTCTTAGTAAAAGCTTTTTTTTCTTTCTTTCTTTTTTTTTTTTTTTTTTTTTCCCACCTAGGATTCTCTCCCAATCTCTCCCTAGGATTCTCTCCCAACAATCATTATCTGACCTTCTTTCTCCAGCTCCATTTTCTACACTATCATTGTAGTGAAAATCCTACCTACCAGCACAACTCACAACTTTAAAAGCTTCTGACAGTGCTTTAAACTAAAGAAATGACATATTCCCAACCATTATTATTTGCAGGAGTCCAGAGCATTTCAGTGTACTTTTCTATTATTATTCTTGGGCATATGTACAGTTCATTGTCTGCTGTTCCAAATCAATGGCTCTTTTCTTTATCATCCCCAAAGACAACACTTCCCAGCAGTGCAGATCACTAATTCCCCCCAACACACAAAAATTAGCAGGTTCTCCCTGGCTCTCACTTGTCTTTCAATATTAATCTCCCACTTCCTCTATACCAGACAGTGGTAATTTCTTTGTACATACAGTAGCTAGAACAGGCCTGTATGTGTTTTTCCTTCTCAAGGATGCAGGAAAGCACGGATAGTGGGAATTAAAGCCCTTTAGGCTGATTTCCAACTAAAAGACTTGCAAAAGGTTTAAAGCTTAGAAAGGTTCACACAGGAAGCTGTTTCCAAGAGACACAGAAGGACCTTTCTGCACAGTCTAAAGGGTAGCAGAGTTAATTAGCTGTTTAATCCATTTCCTCACAAAAAAAAAAAAAAGAGACATTTTAAAATTTGAAACATAACTGCTGCAGCACTTACACAGGAGAAAGCAGACAACGTGTTCAGCTTAGAGTCCATCTATACTAATTGCTTCCATTTCCAGAGCTCTGCAAGCTTATCAGCAGCCTCCCAGCCTTGTCTTTTGTTTTGCTGATCTCATTTGCCTGTCTTCCTCCACAAAGAATCACACCATCCCTGGCATGATACCTCCTCTCCTTGTGGTTATCATCTTGCACTTTCAAAAAAAGTAAATTCCATCCATTTTATACTCCTTATTCAATTCTTGCAATAGCAGAAAAACTAAAGTCTCAGCAGTTAAGCGTATTTGAGCTACCCATATAAGCATATTGAACAGCAATTACTTTTATTATATCAAAATGCCTGATAATTTACAAACCTTGTTTGCAAGGTGATAACTATCCTGCAAGATTTCAAGTGCTGCTTCAGTCTCCCAGAGCAAACCAGCAGAAACACCAACGACCGATTCTTACCTGCTCAGCGAGAAGATGTTGCTGTCTCTGTCCCATTAGGAACTGCTGCTTCTGTTGCTCCATGAGCAAGTGCTTCTGTTGCTGCTCCCTTTGCTTCTGCTGGTCCATGAGCAGTTGGTGCTGCTTCATCACCGCTGCTTGCTGCTGGTTGCTGAGATAGGGTGTGCTGCTGTGGTTGCCCGCCATGGACACTGTAGGAGCCTGGGCACCAACACCGGGACCCGGGACAGAAACAGGGACACGAGGAACATTAGCAGAAGAGGTTTGATCCTGCAGGATACAAAAAGCGACACAAGTTACAGAAGGGGAGTTCTCCAGGCTTGACAAACTCGTGTAGTTATGCAGGTGAACAAAGTCACTTTCATAGTGAAAACCACAAGGTGCATTACTCTGTATTTTGACAGAATAAAGCAGAGAGACTTTCTGAAGAATATGTAGGGAGGGCAATCATATCCTCAAGAAAACAAAAAATGTCAATTACTGCTTTTTGTGAATTCACACAGCTATTTAATAAAAAATGGAATGGTTTTCTATCATCTTTACACAATAACTACTCTGTGAAGCTTCTGAGGGAAAACAAAGTGCCATAAAATTTTCAATTCAGTTAATCAAAGACACCCAAGAGCTCCAGAACTGCCAGACGTGAAAGTGAGAGACTGAAGTTAGTGTCACTAGCTCCAAAATATCCAGCAAGAGAGGTGTTAAGTGCAATCTCACCATATTCCCAAATTATGAATCAAGCAGATGCACGCAGCTTTGCATGCTTCTAATCAGCCCAGCTACAAAAAGCTCTTCAAATCCATCAGCCTCAGTTACCTTTGGGAGCAGGATTTCAAACATTTTAATTGTCTTTATACAAAACATCTAAATTCTACCTTTTCTGACACTGCTTAATTCAGCAAGTGTTTATGTCTCTCCTCTTGAAATTGTTTTTGATATTAACATAGTATTTAATGCTTGCAAGTGAAGGGGAAGAAGGCTTAACAGTGACCAAAATGAAGTCTAAAGCATTTTTTCCAACAACACAATTGCTACTACCTTCCTCAGAAATACTACTACAGAGTTAACCCAGTTTCATTATTTTTTTTCATAAGTGTCTTCTTTCTCAGGAGAAAAGAAATTGGGGAAAAAAAAATCAATTACCACTAAGTAAAAATAACATGAAGCAATTAAGACTCAATACCGTTCTCTTTGTACCAGCAAATTCATTTGAAATTTGACTGGAAATTTTGCCATTTTCAAGCACAGTTCAACCTTAACTCTAATTATGTTAATGAATATCACTTTCAGTATTAGAAATTAGCTAATGAGCTAGGCTGTTGGTTTTTACTCTGTGCAGTTTCATCAGAAATCATGAGCCAAATACACGTAATGCTGCATTGTATGAGGATATGCAAGCTTTTGACTGAAGTGATAATTAATATTTTTGTTACTTCAGTGCAAAGGTGCCAATGCACATGTAAGGTCACCTTCGGGCTTCTCATCTGGGAGGGGAGAGGGTAGAGCAAAGATTTTTGTTTCCCAACTATTTTAAGGGGATTTAACTTATCTGCATGTTACGAAGCATATGTTGGTCTCATTTTTATATCACTGTGATCTTTCCTACAGATTAACCAGATAGTCCCTTCACTGTTTATTCCTCTGCCTTACTGAGGAAACATAACTAGGTAACATCTTTTGCTAGAGCTTTAATTCTTCTAACAGACACGACTTCAAAAAGCCACCCAGTACGTGCATCACAGGCACGAGTCACAGAATTGCGAGACTCTTCCCCTGCACCCAATTAACAGGTTTCACCTGCAGGATACCTGTAATACCAGGTGTACACTGGCATTTATTGTTGCAAAATCCTTTAAGTATTATAAGGCAAATGAGCACAACCAACACATCTTTATAGAAATAAAAATAAAACTGAAGCTTATTACTGTAGCACCCAAATATTACTATTAACTTCATTTTTAAAGACAGATCCCTTCCCGTGCTTCCCCTATTCCCACTGACTTAACGAGGGCAAATTCTTAGCTTTGAATAGGCCCAAGAAACCAAGGCCAAAGGCCAAGAAACACCCTCCAAAATAAGCAATGCAGCTCACCCCTATTCAAAGGGGTGATTCTTTTTTGCTATTGCTTTGAATTTTGCTATTCAAAGAAAAGCAACTTAAGACACATCTGTTCATACCAAGTCAATCCTGAGAAAAGTCAGAGATTGAAAAGCTGCAGAAAGCAATGCTTCTTTGAGAATGTTGTTCAACACCAAGGTGTTATAAAAGTTATTTTAGGCCAAGGTTTACAAGGCATCTATTTATTGCAAGTACTAATTTCTACGTGTGACAAAATTTGTTGTCCACAAGTAATATTAACTTGGAATCAGAAGTTACCAGCGTTACTTAGATTTGTATATTAGAAGCTGCCCTCAGCAGAAAATATAGTTCTCAATTATTTTCTCAGCTTATTGCATATTCCAATTTTCTACTTCAAAAACAAGCAGTAACTGTTTTGAAATATTACTAAGTAATCTATAGTCTGCTCCTACCAATCCAATAGCCTGTTGCAAAACCTTAAATCTGGACAAAGGCAACAATAACAGCCAAAAATCAGAATATGCACCTGACTGTGGGGAAGGAGAGGTCGGTAGGCAATGTTCCCAGATTTTGGCTTCAGCAGGATCATCCCGTTTTGGTCATCGCTCACGTGCGGCAACGGCGGCTGCTGCCGTTGCTGTATGTAAGCCAGCATGGAAGTCTTGTTCTGAGCAGGTAACGTAACTCCCTGCTCACATTCCACTTTGTAATGGGAAAGAGGCTTGGTGTTTCCGTAGTCCAGCATGGAGCCCTGATTACTCACAGGGTTCTGGTTCAAGCTGTTTTGCTGATGACCCAGCATACCCACGTGATAATTGCCTCCAGCTCTTGGTGAGCTTTTATTTCCCATATTAGACATCATGAGCTTCTGATTGTTGAAGTCGGGCTGGTAAACTGAAGGACTGGTGGGATTTTCCATGTTATATGGGACAGCCAGCGGACTGTGAGATGGCCCAGACTGCTGCCAGCTGGACATCTGATTAGGCTGGTGGACTTGTGAAGCTTGTTGCTGATTCTGCAGCATCTGGTCTCTCTTCTGCTTGGCAGCAATCTGCTGAAGTTGATGAGCAGAGGACATTTCTTTGGCACTTCCTGTGCCCTTCCCAGGTAACAGCACATTGGGGAGAGGCCTCTGGACGTTCTGAGAGTGGTTTGATGCCTGCATCATGGGCTGGCTGGGATTTTCAGTCATCGACTGACTGGAAGGTTGAAACATTGCCTGAGAACTACCAACTGCTGGAGAAGCAGCACTTACAGGCACAGAAGCAGCACCCATAAATGCTGAACCTGAAGAAGTGGATCTAACCTGTGGAGATCCCATCTGTTCCTGTTCAAAAGCTGGGGAAAACTCAGTCTTTATGTTAATATCCTGTGGCAAAGGAGTCTGTGCAGCTGAATTTGAAGAATCTGCATCCTTTTTCTCTTCAAAGTCTTCATTAAAGAGATCCTTCATGTCTTCATCAGGCACTGATCTATTAAGCTCATCAATAAGCTCCTTCCATTCTTGCTCATTAAGATTAAGATCAGGCATCAAGTTGTTCTGAGAAATAGAACCCCCTGCTCCAGCAATCATACAAGGAAGATCATCTACAGGCTCCTGCTTGAGTTCTTTGTTCAAACTCAAAGGAAACGAATCATCAGCATCACCACCTCCATTCATCTGCAGGTTGGAATCTGGAAGACCCTTCTTGCTAATGCCATCGAGTCCCACTGAATGTTTTCCATTGAGTTGTAAGGTATCTGTGCTGGAAGACTTCTTGTCAAGGTGATGCAGTGGAGAAACAGGCGGCATCCCATTAGAAGAACCGCTCACTCCACCAAGACCGTCATCACGACGTAGTTTCTTAGACACAGTAAACACGTCACCATAGCCATTCTGCTGGTCTCCATTCTGAGGGGAAGCAGCACTATCAAGCTTTCTTTTCACAGTCTCATGGAGCTGCTAAAAACAAAGAAGATAGTTAGGTAAAAACTGTATTTCATACATAAGAATAATTATTTCTTAACAGAACATAGTCCAACTCTGAATAAAATGTTAGACAATTAGACCTGTGCTTTGATAGGATTCATTTTACAAGTCATGTTACAAGATGCCATCCTTCTTATGCTCTGCTAAAATAAACCTTCAAGTATGTACTGGATCAAATACAACTACCTCTCTAAAAAAAAACAAAAGCTGACAAATACTTTAAAACAATAAATAGTTGAGATTCCTGTGAAGCAGAACATATTATGCCTTCTCACTTCAAAATGCAAAAACACTGAAGAATGTTAATATTCTGATTTTGCAGGGAAATTTTTGGAGAAGATTTATGCAAACTTTAGGCACAACCACATTTTTTGCACTAAGCAAGTGACCACTGTCTGTTTCACATTTATCTAAACAGTACCTCAGATTTCAATCAGTTCTATCTGAGTGTCTTCCTTTTCCTTCCTCCTACATTTGCCAGCTGCTGGACACACACAGACCTGGTAGGTGCCTGAGCAGAAAACTGTCCTATTCGTTTCCTTGTAGTGCCACCTAGAAGCAAGCAGCAGGAACAGCAACAGGACCTCAACCTCAACCACAGTTTGGGACCCTTTGCTCAGCTTCCTGTTTCTGGCAACTCTTTCAAGCATAAACGTTTTTTCCATTGATCTCAAAAAATATCTGAAAATATAATTCATGCACCCACTGAAAAAGGCTGTAAGTTTTTCCTTCCCCCGGTTGTAGTATATAAGAAATTTTGCTTTGCCTCTCAGGGGACTGCTACACCAACACAGACAAACCTGCCAGGCACAAACGCTGCTCAAATGGAGCAGTGCGTTTAATGGGAGCTCCCACTAGCTCCCCTGACCTGCACGAGATGCCTCTTCAGTCCTCAGGGGGACACGGGAGCAAAATCCCAACAAAAAGCCACCTGTCTGGAGCTCCTGAGCTGCCCTTGTGGTTTTTGCTGCAAAACACTGCTCACAAATGGTAAAAAAAGCCCCCAAACAAGTATGTTTATTTTAATATTACTTGCAGTCTCCACGTACAGTTCATGAAACCTTGGGGAAAACTGTCTCATCCGAGAACAAACAGGGAAAACCTCAGGATCTCGGCACTCAAGCAAAGGGTAGTATGTAGAGCCAGGCCAAATTATCAGAAGAATTTCACAGCACTTGCCTGGGCAACAACACGCTTTGATTTAGGGATAAGAGGCTGTTTCATAGATAATTTTTGTTTAAACAGTCTCCTGTTAGCTGATCTTAGGGGGAAAAAAAATCCACCGTTTAATGCTTGGACAGGTAATGGCAAAACATTTTTATCTGAGCGTTAGACTGCAACTTCCAGGAGCCCGGGATCTTTTAGATTCTTCTTGGAAACAGAAGCACAATAATGAAATTAGCAGAAGACTTGGTAAGAAGGAGGGTATATTTAAGAGGAGGCTGGAAGTCTTTTTTCTTAACACAAAATATTAGATCTACAGCTGGACTACCAGATTAAAGAGTTTTTTTGTTCTTCAAATACGACTTGAAAGAATACAGGAAACTAACTTTCATGAAAAAGGCAAAACAAGAACAAAGAGCAAGGGAGCTTTAACTCAATTGCAGCATTTGGCTTTCAGCAAGTTTCCTATTGTTTACTTAATATTCCAACTGGGAAAACTGAAGCTCAAGGTGGATGAGTAACTTGCCCAAGGTCATAGGATGAGTAAAGCCCTCAAAGACTGGAAATGGATCCTCCTTAACTTTAAATCATTAGGAAAAACAACACTCCCTGAAAACTGACATGAGAGCAGTAAGTTTACTTTGTGCCCTGAACATACTCTTCTCCCAGCTCAAGCACATTCCTGCAAGAAAACAGAATATGCCCTCACTGAAGGCACTGCTGTAATTATAATTTATGTAGACAACTCAAGCCAACCAGGATTTTGCTAGAATTACAGCTGCGCTTGCACACAGTTCATCATGAACTGCAAAATCCACCTACGCGGCTCAACAAGTATTCTAGCAATTAATGTCTGCAAAGGCCTTTGCTGCTGCACCTACAGCACTTGCAATATATACAGCTAACTGGTCTACGAGGAACCCACTCGTGCTGATAAGCTGCACTTGCTATAAAGATACAGACCCCTAATATGCATCATGTGCTCTCTCTTCCTCTCAAGTCCTAGGAGCACCAGTGGCCACCATAATCCTGATTCTGAACTGACTGGCATCAGTTGTTCTAAACTAAGTCATTCTCAAAGGGGAAATTTTTTTTAAAATGAACTTTCATCACCAGTGAGGTAAAAATTTAGGATGACTGCTTCCAGCCTTGCTTTACCTTGGCCTAAGATCATCTGGAAGGTGTCTTAGCTTTACAATAGAACCAGTACACCGAGATAGAAGACAACAATCTGCTTTTCTGTACGAGGAGAAATCAAACCCAATTTTTAACAGCACACTTGACATCTGAATTCTAGAAGCTATTTTCCATCTGCATTCACGTGTGCTGGTTCATTTTTCACATTAAAAACAAAAGCCCAAGGTGCATCTGAACACAGCAGCAATACCTCTACACTGAGGCTCGTGCCACTACCGTTACACTGCCCGCTAGCTTAGAACTAACCTGGATAAACCTACAAGGACCAAGGGATTGCTACAACAATTTGCCGAAGTCCCTTCTCCTCTGTCAAGGGAAAGACATCCTGATACTTTCCGTTTATTCCTTTTTAAGCAAGTGATACAACCTGAAATTCTCACAAAACAGTCATACATCTGTACTGCAAATACAGCTGTACTGCAAATACTGCAAATAACTGCAAATATTGCAACCTTCTGCAATACCGCAAGTAAGGCAGCTTTCTCCTGCAAGGTACCATTCCTTCCATATCATCTCAGCTCTTAACTTCTACACAGGAAAAAAAAAAAACTTGTTAAATACAGCTCTTGTGCTTTGCCCGCCTCTATCTAAAGCCAGTTTTTGAGGAAAAATAGCATGGAGATTGAGAGATACAAGCCAGGTAACAAACCGTGAACATGTCAAGCAGCCCCAGCAGATTTCCCATGGCAAGGAAAGCCTGTTCTCACCTGACGAAACTCAAAAAAGAGTAGAAGCATTAAAGAAAAAAATCACCTCTAGACTAAGAAAAAATATATATTTTTTCTCCTGTTTCAACTTTAAGCTTTTTGTCTACCATCAATTTTTTTAGGTATGGGACCCTCTGATTCACTGCTCATGCTTTTCTTAGTAGGATCAACATTCATAACGCTACGCAAGGGATATCCAACACAGACAGGGCCCAATCACATAATTCAAGGCACACAATCCTGCTCTACACGATTGGGACATAAGAGCAGGGATGCACACGTGCTTTGCCACATGACAGGGTTTGCAGCAGGCTCCTACAAACAGCCAGCATGGCCCAGGCTATGTGAATCACTCTGCAAAACTACAGGCAGAGACTGCCTTAAACCCACCAGTGTTCCCCCAAGGAGCTGCACCCACACTGCAGGCTCACTGCACAGGCCAGCGGGTGGATTCCATAAAAAAGAGCCACAAATTAACACGGAAGCCAAAGAGCAAGAACTAGGGAAAGACTGAAAACTTGATCTCCAGGTTTTCTATTACGAAATGCCCTGACGGAGTCCAAAATTCAGAAGGCAAAACTCAGAAAGCAGCAATTCCCTCTCGCACTCCTACCGTGCTAGGAGATGAGAAGAAAGGGTCACTGAAATCTAGACTCACTTACTACTAAGCATCTGAAATCAACATTTCAACATGAAATATTATTCATGTTATTTTCTAGAAAGCATGAAATCTTTCAAACTGTAGTATTTTAAAGAACCAAAGGTGGTTGGCTCAGACTGTATTTCTCAAAGTCCAATAATTTGATATACTTTGAAACCTGTAACTGAAAGCAGAAAATAACTATAAAAACTGCACAATTTCTGCAGAAAAAAAACTATTAAAATTATCGTAACAAAACTTAAAGTCTATCTTTTATATTGCTAATTTTGCTGTTCTTAAAATATCTGCTAAAGAAACAAAGCATTCTTAAAGGATTTAGTAGACTTTTCCCCCCATTTTATTTCAAATAAGTTTATCATTTCAGGCTTAGAATTCAGTTATGTCTACAAGGATTTGTTGTGAAATATCACCAAGAAAAATGTAGTGTTGATCATTTTTCAAAGGAACAAACGCTGCACTAATCTCCAAATACAATTAAATAAATAGTTACAACTCTGCCTTCCAGCCTGGATACCTGGAAGGGGAAGCCAAACTAGAATATATCAAGTTCTTGTCAGTGGAAATGCTGGAAAAGTTCCACAGAGCAGAGCTCCCAAGAGCAGCCCCTGGAGAGAGACAGTCTCCTCTCCTGCCTGCCCAAGGACAAGAACAAAGATGACAACATCTGGAGCTGCAACAACAATGCAAATATCAGGACTCAAAATATACGCCTATAGGATAAGAATCATTAGGCAGTTTGATTATATGGCACACTAGGAACTCTTCATTTCCTGAGCACCCATCTCCAGCTTCCAAAGTCACCCTCTCCTTGCAAGGAAAGCATTTTCTTCCCAATCGTCTCGTTGCATCCCAGCACGTTGTCAGAACCAAACTGCTGCAGTAATTTTAATGTTGACTTTTACTTTAATTCCAGAAGACTTCTGGATTTGGGTGCCTGCCTGCTGGAGTGAAGAAGGGCTGGATATGTGTGTCTATAAATATCCCAGCCTGCATTAGTCACAAGGGGCAGCTTCTGCTACAAGAATTGTTCTGCTGAATCAAAAAAAAAAAAAAAAAGAGCAGAGCCTTCAGCTGCAGTGCCGGATCCTCCACCTCACTTGAACTTGAAAAGCAGCAGCACAGCAGTCACTCCCAGATCCTTACAATTTAGGAAGCATCGCTGCATATCTAACTAATCTTGTAAGGGAAACGTTTCAAACAGGCAACAATACCTTGCACAGAATTAAAGGGAGACAAAGAAAAACCTGTCTGGGTTGTTGGGCAACAAACTATCAGACTTGTCAGCAAAAACAAACAATGGTGGCAAGACTACAACTGCACTATAGTTATGTATAAATAATGTGGAAATAATTTGCTATTTTTGTGGTAAAACATAATTTCACAATTTAACACCCATGTACCACAGCTTGCACAAAAATCAGATCTGCACAACTGTTAGGCACCAATCTGAGTTCTGTTAAGCAGGATGTTTTTAGCACTTGTCATTACAATCCAGGCAGTATTTCCTTATTACTGAGGGTTTTAAAGCCAAGACACCCATTTCTTGACTTTCCTCTGGATTAAGCTTACTTTTAAACCATCTCCTGGGTGCCTGGGCTCAGCTAAGGTTAACTCGGAACGTAGCTATTGTCACTGTGAAGACCTCTATTGCTCCCAAGTAAATCCATGGTACTAAAGCTCTTCAGCTTTAGCACAGAGTGCTCCCGAGACAGGCCGCTCACCAGATCTCCCTGCCTGTTCCAGAAATAGTCTGTGGTTTTGTGGCAGTCCTAGACAAAGCAAACCATCTACACAACAACTGTTCACAGGTGAAAAAAACAGTAAGAAACACGGGGCAGCTCTTAACAAGAGCCCACATAACAAATGCAGCAGCAAAGAGACAGATCTTAACTCTGCCTCTTCACGCATTGAGAAAATACTTTCTGCTCAGCTCAGTATTAGACTATACTATAATCTATCCAGGAGAAAGCTCAGCCTTTTCACGTACAGAGTTTAAACTAACAAAGTATCAAAATGAACCTTCTCAAAACTGAATCTGGCAACGAGGACAAACGTGCTCCATGACAAACAAGCACCTTCTCTTTTCAACTCCTGTTTCTCAAAAATGTAAGATTAGAACAAGGGACAAAACATAACAGTAAACATCATGTGTTTTGAACATAGTCGCAATAATGTAATCTTAAAGAAAAACATGGAGCACATTTTGGGTTTTTTTTTTTCATTTTCCATTAAATAAAGGTCTCCAGATCTCTGGGGGCTTTGTTTTGTTTTTCTAAAAGAGGAAGCTGAAGATTTTTTTAAATTTTCCCCCCATCCAAGGAAGGGCAGGATTACATGGTGCACCAGCCAGCTAGGGTACTTCTGTACCAACCCTGTATTCTCTCGGTTTCTGCACTCTCAAATTCCAGCACTACCGAGCAAGAAAACACAGGAGGAAGCCGTCTCTTCTGTTTCTAGCTCTAATTCATCCAGTTGCAGGAGCTACAAGCCAGAAAAGGCCGCTGGGAGAAAAATTCAGCTCGGGCCGTATGAGACATCATCCGAGTGCTCCAGGGGAAGCGGCGGCGCCCAGCACGGCGCACACGGCTGCAAGGGCAGCCCCGGGGCTCCTGCCACCAGCCACCACACGTGCAACGATTTGGCTGCTTACAGGTCCTTGCTGCCACGAGCTGCTTGTGAAAGACCAAAATGAGGGCTTCAACAGCTTGCAATATGGAGCATGAGCTTGTAAGGGAAGATTCATACAGAGCTCTTGATCGTAACAGCAGCAATGGTGCTATTATAGCAGTACTGTTGGTGTAATGTGTGTTTAATTGTCCCAGGCACATTCTTTTCAAAGGAATGTGTTGAGGATATTTTAAAAAGAAGATAATTGGGGTGGTAATCCAAAAGTTTACTGAACACTGTAAGCCATATCCACATCCTTCCCCTAAACAGCACATGCTTTGTCTTGATAACAGCTACAGGATTGCTGGAGGTAAAACATCAACTTCTAGCTTAGAGAGGAACCCTTTAAGGGATGAAATGATCAGCATTCTTCTTGTTATGTTAGGGTTTTTTTTTTCTCCAGAAACTTGCATTACTAAATAAACCAGCTTTAAACCCTAGTAACGATGATGAATGAGCAGCTGCAATTAAGCCAGCAGTCATGTAGCCCAGGAAGGAAGAAGCAGGGCAGCACGAGGAAGAGTCATTCATACACCAAAACCGTCTTCTGTTGTGCAAATTGGCCACTGGCAGCAGCTTCCTGTACAAGGGCTTCCCCAGATGTGCACTGTATTTCAAAACCACATTGCTGCTGAGAGCTCTCATGATGATGGACGCTAATTAAATCAAATCCACAGCCAAAGCCATTGGAAAGAAATGCCACCAATGAATCAACAACATCTTCTAGAGAGTCAGTCAATATGACGGAGTGTGATGGCAGCAGAAGTAACAGGATTTGAAATGTTAAAGAGCTCTGTATGTGTGCAACAAAAAGATTATTTAATGTCATATATAACATTATTAACAGTTAGAGCCCCACACACAAAAAAGTTAGAGCCCAGGAAGGTAACAAACGGAAATCCCACCAAGTCTTTGGACAACAGGACACGAGTTTGGGTCATCTGAGCTCTAACACCAACTCACGCTCAAGATCACCCCACTAAACAACAGCTATCCCAGAAGTTTTACAGAGTCACTGTACTCTTCCTCCAAGACTTTACCTATTGAACGAGTACTCTAACTGTACCACAAGGATTTGAGTTTTCAAAAAAACCTGCGTCCCCCAGGTTCTCATACGTACGTTATGAAGACTGCGAAGAGGCAAACAGCACTTTCATTTCATGCTGTCTACATTACAAACCACAGAGGTGCCTCTCTAGCACCAGGTACACAGGAGCTGACAGGGTGGCCCCTGTCGTGTACAGCACAACAGCATGCAGCAAGTTCGACAGCGATGCTATTTTAAAACCTCGAAGAGAACAGGGAATCACAGCCTCCCTTCTCTTCTAACTTGGTCGCGCTTGCTCAAAGACTCACACACACAGACCATCATAAAAGCATAATTTCACATATACATTAACTTGACAATGTGCCATGTTAATGCCAGCATCACATTTTAAAGGCGTGTGAAGCAGCATGGTGGCAGTTTAAGCACAGGATTTGACATACTGAAGAGCTCTGAATACATGTAATAAAAATACACATTATTAAAAGTGTTAGAGCCCCATACAAATGCTTAGAGAAAAAAAAAACTTAGAGAACAGGAAAAAAGAAAAAAAAGTAAAAGAACTGTATCATTTTCATGCTGGTCCCCACACAGAAATACCTGTTTTTGTGAAAGGCAGTGGGTACCTTTAAGCAGTTATCCTACTAACCTACATTACTGACACATTAGTAGAGCACAGTATATTTAAAGGGCTCGGAGTAGAGTTAAGCAATAACTATCTTGATATACAAACACAGCTGTATGAATATATCCTGACAACCAGAAATGCTAGAGAAGCCAGAGAAACATTAAAGTTTTGAGTTAGGCCAGTTTTTTTAAATGGGTGGAGTGGGATTCCCACAGTGTTCACACCCACCAGAGAGCAGCAAATAAGCAGCTGCCCGGCCAGCAGCGCTCCAAGGAAATTCCTCCCAAGAGGCAGCAAAACTACGGGAGATACAGTTTAACAAAAGGGATTTAAAAGGAACACGGTAAGAGATGTGTTCTTACGGTGATGCCGCTCAACACCCACTGCCTCAGCTAAGGCTGAAAGGGAAGCAAAGAGCCCCAGGCCTCGCAGGGCTCAAGTCCCCCTGACAGTTTCTCCAGGGGCAGCTGGGCTGGGAGAGCTGGGCCCGGAGCTCATGGGCCGCACGGGGGGACAGCGCTCAACGACGGCAGCAGCCCCCAGGAAGGAATAAAAAGAATACAGAATAAAGGAAAGCAAAGCAGCCGCGAGCCCCCCCCGGCTCGCCCCGGCCCGGCCGCCCTGGCGCGGGGGTGACAGGAGGCAGAGGGGCGGCGGAGGCCCTGCTTACCGCGATGAGGGTGCTGCTGCGGCCGTGCTGCTCGCCGCCCGCCGCCTCGCCGTCCAGCCCGTTGGCGCCGCTCCTGTCGGCGCTGCCCGCGGCGGGCGGCGGCGGCGCGGGCGGCGGCGGCTGCGGCGGCGGCTGGCGGTGCTTGCCGGCCCGCTTGGCCTTGGCCTGCAGGCAGCGCTGGTGCAGGGCGAAGGTTTGCTGGCGCTCCAGCTCCAGGCGCTCCGGGGACACGGCCTGGTAGCGGGACTCGCAGGCGCTGTGGTGCCGCCGGCAGAGCTCGATGCGCCGCCGCAGCCGCTCCATGACCGCGCTGTGCCGCGGCACCACGAACTCCGCCATGGGGCAAGGGGGCAGCACCATGGACCGCAGCGCAAGGGGGGGCCGCCGCCGCCTCAGCCGCCGCCGCTCACCGCCGCCGCGGGCCGCCCCCCGCCATGGCGGCCGCGGGGCTCCCCCGCGGGCCCGGCCTCGCCGCCCGCTCCGCCGGCCTTACCTGGGCCGCGGCGACCCCCGCGCGCGCGCGCGCCGGCCCGCTCCCCCCCCGCCCCACTTCCTCCTTCTCGCCCGCGGCCGGCGCCGCTCGCGCCGCGGCGGCTCCCGCCGCCCGCTCGGCCCCGCGGGCCGCCCCGCGCTGCCGGCCCGTGCGCGGCGGGGCCCGGCGGGCGCGGCGCTCAGGCGCGGGCGGGCGCCGAGCCCCCGCTCCCCATTGTTATCCGCGCCGCCGCCATCTTGAAATTGTTTTTCCCCTCAAGAGCCGAGTTGAGGATAAGTGGGCGGAGCTTCCTGGGTGGCGGGCGACGTCACGGGCGCGTCGCGCGTCACGAGCGCTGAGCGACGCGGGCGCCAGCCAATGGGAGGCGGGCGAGGCGCGGAGGCGGGAGCCCGCAGGACACGGCCGGGGGCGCATTTAAAAGGCAGAGGGGGGACGAGGGAAGGGGCGGGGCGCGCGGCATGTGGGCGGGGCCTGAGTGTGAGTGACGGACGCAGGCCCCGCCCAGCACTGAGGGAGAAGGGCAGAGCCCCGCCCCGAACGCCATGGAGGCCGCGGGGCTGCCTGCTCCCCCGCCAGCCTCCACCTGCCCCGCTGTCCTCGCGGCCCCCGGGCTCCGTCGCAGCCTTTCAGTTCAAAACAACGACGAATAAATTGAGTGAGGAAGAGTTGAGCACTTCAAGCTGATTAGACGAGAAAGCCACAGCACTTTAAGTTTCTTTATTAATTTTACATCATAATTTATTCAGTTCTTAATGTAATGCATACTGCATCTACAGTTACCTTTCTGGAATGGACAGGTCTTTTGCACAAAAGAAGTCACAGTGCTGGTTCAGGAGCACTACAGGGCTGCTTCTGAGGCCCCGAGGCAATACTTGTTACAGATCAAGAGGGAAGGCCGGGGGTGCTGAGAATTGTCACCAGCCCCACACGCAACACGAGCGGTGAAACTGAGCACTGCTTGGGAGGAAGGAGCAGAGAGAGACAGAGACAACCAACAACCCTGGCCAGCAACAGCCCTGCAAGCGCTGGGCCCCTGCCTGGAGCCCATCTGAACAGATGCTCAGCGCCTTTTACATCCCACACGAGGGAGCTGCCATAGCTCCATGGTTAGCACAAGCACTGCCGAGCCAGGTCACATTGACTTACAGTTCTAGAGGAGGTTAGTGGGTTAGCAACATCTGCACCAACTCCCAGCGCTGAGGACAAACAAGCAAAGTCTCCAGCATTTCTAAGATGCCATGTGCCAGTAACCACCTATGAACACTCATGTTTGCTCCATCCTGAGGAATCTCGAACTAAATCCTTTCCCTCAGACAGAGCAAGTTCAGCTTTTGGAGCCCATCCTCTCCAACAAGTGCAGTCCCATCAAACCCACCTTCAGGGGCCCAAAGGGCTCTCAAACCTAGTTCACAGGAGCAACATACAGTAGTAGTAAATAGCCTTGGAGGAAAAAGTAGCTAAAAAAACACCCCAAAATAGTCATTTTAACATTGAATTGAGACCCCCAAGTGAGAATGCAGGATAAGAAGTAACATTTAAGTTGTCTATCCGCTTTGGAAAGTCTTAATTTATTGTAGTGATTACTCAAGAAGCATACACTAAGGTATCAAAAAAAGCTATAACATGCAGACAGGAGACCTTTTCAGGTGATCTAGCAGAAGCAAATGTAGTTTTTACAAGTCAGCTTTAATATAACACTACTTAAAAGCTGATAGCAGATCTTAAATTCATTTTTGATGCTTTGAAAGAACATGTATGCACAAGAACTGTCCAGGAATTTAAGGCAATTTGCATTAAGATCAAAAATACTGATTAGATTAACAGCTTTACGTTGTGCTCAGAATTGTTAGCTGGCTTGAAACTATTTATATTTACTTCATCTCAAAGGACTGAGAGTCATAAAAAGCAGCTGCTCCTTGATAAAAATACAGTCCTGAGAACAAGCTGGTAGCAATGCTTAGGCTATGACATCTTCCATGTCAGAGTATAAGCTATTTTGGCAGTAAGGAGCAGTATCTACCAGGTGTTCAACAAGCAAAGGCATTCTAAACATGCATTAAGCTCCCAACACAAGTTGGAAATTACTTCCAGTATCTTGCTTACAATGGTTTATTTGCACACTGCAGAAAGAGCAAGAAATCCTGCTAACATAGGAACAGGCAGCAAAAGATGTTCTATAAAAAAATCCAAAACTTTTTAGTAATCTGTTAGATATTCTGCAAAGTAATTGAAACACTTTCTTCCCCACCCTGGGAGTTATTTCCCGCATGATACCTATGACCTACCCCAAACAACACTGGAGTGTTCATATTCAGTGCAAGAAGAAGAATTTCAGGACATTTAATTCACTCTAAACAAAAGCAAAAGCTTATCTATATAGACATCCAAACTGCAACGTATTTGGTACAGTGTAATGAAGTTACAGAGATTTAACCCTCAGAGGTATGCTCTTGTAGTGATCACCTGCATTCCACACCAAAAAAAGTGTTTGAAACCGTGTAATGTAATATTATAGACTCAACACTTAAAAAATTTATTCATCTGGAATTGGAACTCCCTAACATTCACAATATAATTTAGGATGCATTTGTTACATGAATAGAAGATAAAAAGACTTGAACAGTTTCACATACCAGTAAAGAGATTCCACATGCTCCTTCCCCATCTACAAATACTGACATCTCATTTTTGTTTTTATTTTTATTTTTTTTCTTAGATATTAATTTTGACTTATGTATCTGTCTCTCCTGTTTCTACAGGAGCAGACATACAGTGATAGCAGTGAGAGGATACGGGACACTGTCCTATCCAGTGCTTGGACCCTGGAAGGAGTGGACCTAGCTATGAAAAGTTTGACAATGAGCTGTAGATGAAGCACTTCTCAGCAATTGAGGCAAAGCTGCACTCAGGAAAAGAAAAGCCATATAGTCACAGAGAAAGGAAAGCATCAGAGACGGAACAGAGGGGAAAGGGAAAAGAGTCTAAATATCCCAATAACCCTTCAGCTTTTGAGAAGGACTAACAAAATCCACTTTCTGTGGGATTAAATGCCACATTAACATGACCTACTCCAAATCCTAGATCATTTATTAACGCCAAGTCGGTTTTAGTCATGGACAATGCTCATATTCCATAAGACCAGCGAGCCCCTTCCTTCCACCCCTTCCTCTTCCCCTCCCTCACAGAAGAACAGAGTTGGATTTTGAAGTTTAGCTACTAGTTTTTCCACACATCCCATCAGGGTTGGGTTTTTTTTTCCCCTTTCCTCTTTGAGGGGAAAGGGAGTGTCAACTACATCAACCACCTTGAGCATAATTATCAAATTTTAAGGGATATAAAGACACTGGTGCATTTAGGAATTTACATGTCTGTAAAAAAAACAAACTAGTTATAAAACTGCATTTAACATCTAGCATCAAGATTTTCATCGTTATTTTTTTACTAATTAATATATTAAATTAAGCCATGGTTTGAGACTGTCAAAGTTCTACTAATCTACTAAAAAACAAACAGACAGAGTATTTAAAACCAAAATGAAAAAGGTTAGTTATGTTACATTCCAAAATCCACAGCCCGTTATATTAAACACATTCTTTCTACAGGAATGATGTTTTAAAACAGATGATTGCAAAGATTTTACTGCTAGACACTCCATTACATTGGATAGTGTAACTGGAACCTGTGGATGGCGAGATTTTGAGGTCTGTCCAAGTTTCAATGTAAGGTGTCCAAGGTCCTCTCTCAGAACAGAGTTTGGAAAAAAATTACAGAGCAAGTTCTTATGATGTTTCTTTTTTTTTTTTCTTTTTTTTTCAATCTCTTCTTGGCTTTCTGTTTCTGGGTGACCTATTCACAGTCTCCTCCTCCTGAAAGAAAGCCATTTGTGTCAACATCAACGAGATCTAATCCAAGACTGCTTTTAAAGAGAGATCAAGAGGAGAAAATCTAAAAAATTAATACAGCAATCTACAAGACACTTAAATTCTAATGCAGAAATCAAAGTAACTTCTCAAAGTTACTCAAAGTACTGTTATTACCCCCTTCCTTTCCATGCAAGCAAATACAGGAATTCTCCACCTTTCACAGTGGATGGCCATTATTTGCTAAGTGTTTAACACCTCCCACTGCTGTGAGAATCCTTTAAGGGTTTAAGGGACACTCCGCTCCTTTTCAGGTTAGCCATTTATGATAACCTCACACTTATGCTAGTGTAGAACTCTTAAGAAGTCACATCCTGACTGCATTCAAAACAAAATAAGCTTCTTACCTCTGGAAAGTGGTCTGCACCACACAATGGCAATATGGGCACTAGGGCAGGGCCTCAGCCAGGCTTCCTGCTATGCTTAAGCTGGACAAAGTGATTCCAAGTCTGCAAAATGACTGAATTCTCTCTATTTCTAAATTAGAGTGGGGGAGTCCCCTGCCATTAGGAATAGTATCACACAAGCGAGATTAAGACTTCAGAAAGGCTGTGTAAATTATACTGATTTAAGAACAATTCAGATAATTTGCTTTAAAGATTAAATGTTTTACCTCTGATGCATGTTTCCTGTCTTCCTCCTCCTCCTCCTCTTCCTCCTCCTCCTCTTGACTAGCACTTCCTATATCAGCATCACTTTTCTGCTTCTCTTCTAAAGGAAGGAAAAAAAGTCTCATTCATTCTCTTTCCTTAATAATAATATTGCTGGCATATAATTTTAGATAGGAAAATTCAAGCTGCTCCAAAGATCATCTTGCTTACCTAGCTTTTCATCATTTGTTTCTTCTTCTTCCTCCTCCTCTTTGTCCCCCTTGTCTTTTTCTTCCTCCTTCTCCTCATTCATCACATCAGGTTGAGGAGCATCTGTCTTTTTGTACTCTGCAGCACTTGTCTGCTTCTGGGAAAAAAAAAAGTCAGTAATTTGTGAAGTTAGGACATGTTTAAACTGAGTGCCTTTACTCAGTTTCATACTAGCAAAGGAAACACCTACCTTCCCAGAGCAGCAGAAAAGGACAACAAGGAACACTGGCAAAGCCACAGTGAGGATGTAGACTACCCAAAGCCAGGGACGTTCTTCAGCAGCTGCCATCATCTGGCCCACAACTCCAGGCTGTAAAATGAAGTCAACTGTCAAAATCCATCCTATACAGCACAGTTGGTTTAGTTTCTCTTAATGACGACACTGATATTCAGTAGTCTTTATGTAACTTTGAATATAACTGTATTTCATATCTCAAATCTTAAAGCTAAGCAATGTAAGTATTTCTCCATAGCCTATAAACTAAAAGCTAGAATGGCTTACATTAGCAGCACAGTTGAGCTGTATGAGCAGCCTCATAACAAAGTAGCAAGTCCTCAGTGTCAACAAGTACTACAGTACAATTAAAACTGACGTTCCTATGGAGTTTACCATAGTCTCTAGCCTTGCTATACACACAGTAATGCATATTTCAGTAGAAACTGTGGGAGAAAAGCAATGTTCGTGTTAGAGTCAGCAGCAGACAACTAAGCTTTTATTTCTCACCTCAGCAGCACCATCAGCTGCCTTTTTCAGTCCCCATCCATCATTGGCCCATTCATCAGCCACAGTTCTCTCAGTACAGATAATAAAATTGTCAAAAAATATGTCAGAAGTCATTGACCACAGCTCAAGTCCCACAGCACTAAAGGGAGTCATCTTGAAAGGCTCCAAATCTTCAAAGAAATCCGGATTTGGAATCTTCCTGGGTTTCCATATCCCCTAGGAAAGACGGAGACATTCCACCATTACCTAATACCATAAAGTCTGCACATTAATTTTCATTCCACTTTGAATCTGAGAGACTAATTCACTCCCCGTGCACCAATGAAATGTTTGAGGGCAAACCTTCATGCCCTGCAAATATCTGGACTACAGAAGCATTAAGCTTAGCAAGAAAGCAGTTTGAATCGCTACTGCCGATGGGTTAGATCTGCTGAAATTAAGTTATACCACTTTTTAGAAGAGAACCGCTCAGTGCTCAACAATTTACACAATCAAAACCAACCTGATAGTTCACATTATCAATCATAGGAGGCTTCCATTTGCCTTTGTAGTTGGGATTGTCGATCATAGGTCGTTGCCAGGTACCACAGCCAGGGGCTGACTCACATTTGGGATTTGCAATCTGAGGTGCCTCCCATTCACCATCCATATCCTCATCCCTGAGAACAAAATGCAATTTTGAAGTTCATCCCTCATATTCATACAGAGTAAGACTTACATGACCTCTGAAAAAATTACATTTCTAGACTAAAATGGAGATAGTGGAACTCAGTATAACACAAGTCAGCACATATGGACATTGCAAGGGAAATAAAGATTTCAGGAAGGGGCTTGCCACACAAACTCAAAAAAAGCCAGTCACCGATAAAAACTTCTCAAACACTGTACACTGTTTGTACACTGGGACACTCCTGTCCCAGTCAGCTTACAAATTTCAAATGAATGGACATAGGAGAAAGCAAGACTGCAGGATTACTTGGATCAACTCTGCCTTCTACTTTTGAAGTAAGGAAGCCCAAGTAATAGCTTTGTATCTGCTGTCATTTGCAAAGTGTAGTCAACCTACCAATCCTCTGGTTTCTCAGCATCAGGGTCTGCTACATATTCTGGCTCATCATCCAGCCAACCCTCTGGTTTCACAGCATTTTCATCAGGAACCTTTGCAGGAGCATCTTCATCCCTTTAAGATGACATGTTATATATTAATACATATATTTAAATTGTAACCTAAGTGATTCTACGCACTCTAAACACACTAACTGCTACCAGTCAGCTTTATTTTAGACATTTAAGTGCAACATCATGATTTAAGAATGGAGCTGACTTGCTATCTACATTACATGATGTGGCCTCACAGCACAGCTGTTCTTTAGTCGGAAAGATAGTATTAAATGTATTTCTTCAAACCAGCCTGGAAAAAGCTTATTACATCAAGTATATATTTCAGTGCTCACTGCAAACATGCATCTCAACTTCATCAAGTCTATAGACAATTGAGCACAGATTCAAAGGCAAAAAAAAAAAAATCAGCATCAGTTTCTAATTTAGGTTGTCAGATATTTCAGTCTCTTTAACCAATTACACAAGCTATAAGCATCTTATTCTTATCCCCTGAGTGAATTATTTTTGAGCTAAGCCAGGATGAAAACATAGTTCAAACGTTTCTGATAGTTTGCTGTGGTAACAGCAGTAGTAAACAGTATTTCCTACAGAACAGGGATCGTGCCTGCCTTCACCTACCAATGAGGTAGTTCACCTGCCCAAACTACTTGTGCTTTGATCACACAGGTAAAGTTCAGTACCTTCTGCATGTCATCCAAGAAGAAATTTTTCATAAGAACCAAATTCTGAAGCCAGGCCCTTCCTCAGTTCCAACATCTCGAACAACTTACCAATCATCTGGTTTAACAGCATCTGGGTCAGGAATTTTTGGTCTCTCATCCCAGTCCTCAGGCTTCTGGTCATTTGGGTCTTCAATCTCCCGTGGTGGATTCACAGGAGGGGACATATCATTTAATAAATTCCCACTGTTGACAACCACTTGATCAACCAGTATTTCAAAACTATTATCAGGATTCAAGACTGGAATAAAAAAGTCAGTGTAGCCATTGCATTAATATATTTACAGATATACATTATTTCATAAATTACCACTCACTGTTTCAGCAAGCAATCTAAGCTATCATCTGTTCAGAAATTGTTCTTAAATGTTGCTAATAATCCTTTTCCTTAAATCCAATTATAAATAATGATCATATACCACATCTCATCTTGTGAGAGAAAGGATCTGCTGCATGAATCCTACTGTAAGTTTACTAAAAGCAGAGATTTATTAATTACCAGAGCAATTTGACAAGTTTGACACAGTAAGCTTTCCTTTAACAGAGGCATTTGTATCCACTGTCCTCAAGAATGATTCTCCTGTATACATTCATAATCTTACTATTATCACACAAGATTCAAGTCTTTCTTATTCCTTTATCCATTGCTGTCTTCACAACAAGAAGAGCCAGAGATCTTCGAGTATTCCCTGAAAGTTTAGTCATACCATAAAAAAAAATGGTCAGCAGACCAGGTATTACACGCCAAGAATTAATTTTGTAGTTGCAATACAGTAGCACAGCAGTAGCAGTCCACCTGAGTTATGTCCTCTAAACCAAGGTACAGAACTAATCAGCTGAAAATACAAGATGCACAGAGCTGACTTCAAAAATTAAGCCTCAAAGCCATTGTTTCCAAAGAATGGAAGTCTCCTGGGAGACTAAATCACTACTGCTATTTCTCTCCAAGTCTGAAGTCTGGTATACCCAAAGTTATAAGTAGGCAATATTCAATTACTTTAGGTATGCTGCTAATGATTTTGGATATACTCCACATATTCAAATTATTCAAGACTGCTAATAATATTAAGGTCTCGAGTTCTTACATGAGTCATGATTTTTCATAAGGAAAAACTATGCCCTTGTATGTAACAAGGCCAGTTTTTGCATTCAAATTATAAGTATTTAACTCTAGGAGCTGATGACTAGCATATTCAGTTGCTTATTTGGATAATCTCACTTTTTAATTCAAAAAAGAAGGTAGTTTATAAAAAAGCAGAGTTAATGGTCACCATACCCAGTGTGTAAAGGTGGGTCTTCTTATCAGTAAAGTAGTTCTTCAGGTCTGCATCCGGACGCTTTGCATGCTTCTCCTCGTATTTACCAGTCTTTGGATTCTTGTGCCGGAAGATGAAATGCAGTTTGTAGTCCTCTCCACACTTATCAGGGCCAAACATGATAGTGTACGGAGTTTTGTCGTGGAATTGATCCTTTCAAACAATACAAAACTGGAGCTGAAGTGAACTCGAAGTACTAGAGTTAAGCTATTGATCACTACAGGAATCTTTAATTTAAAGTCATACAACTTTTATTACAAACCAGCAACGTACCACACTAAAGCTTGTATCACAGCTACATGCCTTACAAACCTAAGGCCAGAATTACACAGATTCTTGACTTTGCACCTTTGGTCTCCTTTTTTTTCCAGATGAAAATTAATGGCTGTCCAAAAGCTATCAACGAGATGCACTTAAACTACAGTTATCACTAAATAACAATATACTTATCTCTACATAATGAAAAATATTAAAAGCTATCAGTAAAGAACTACTATAATACTGGTAATGAATGGCTAGCTTGTCCAGCAATTATTTCACATAGGGAGATAAGTGCTGGAAATGAACTGATATGTATTGAGTTATATGAGCTAGCCTTTATTTAGGAGTTAACCAGGCAAAAATGTCACCTTTGAACACTGCGAGCAAGTCTATTTGTTCTTGCTAATGTTATTTTGATATTCAATGTACACAAGAGTGGTTAAGAGAGCCTTTGGGCTAGGCTATATTATATATTGGACTACATAATTCTGTTGAATTTGGCATCTACATTGGTAATACAACTCCAATGAGATAGCAGAGGGAAAGCAGAAGAATGGCAAGGGACTTGAAAGAAAGTCTAGGAACATGGCTAAAGAAAACCCATGGGCTACACACAAACCTACAAGGCAACCATGCAGTTAACTCTGACTGAAAAGGCTAAAACACTTAGAGTGGGTAGGAACTGACTGAGGGGAATGATTGCAAATCACTCGCAAGCATTAACTAATTGCAAGCATTAACTGTACTTTTAAGTCCTTGCAGAAGGACTGCATTCGAGGGCCATTTACAAAGCACGGCACTTGAGAGGCTTAACATAGGCATCAGCAAAGCCAACCTTTAACAAAACTGTTCTTTCTTTTTAAATCACATCCAGTACCTCACAATGACCTCAGATGTCAAAGTCAACATAACAAATGCAAGGATACTTGCTAGTTATCGGCACTAGTCTGTTTTGTAAGATAATATATTAAATTTTCCTTCTGGGCGGTGCTTCCTATGCAAGTCTCTCCACCTACACTGCCTACTTAAAATACCTCATCTTTGGTCCTAGAATCTAAAGAAATCAAAAGTGGTGCAGACTTCAGCGGGGTGGGAGGGGGGGCCGAAGATTTTTAATATTCATCTTCTTCAAATAAAATAGTGTGAAAATACCAAGGGGAAAGCACATTGGAGATCAGACCCTAAATATACACCACTTCACCGAAGGTGTTTCTTTCCGAAAGAGCCAAAAAGCTGAAAGGAAAAGCATTACTCACCAGGTTCAATTCAGGAGTTTTCGAAAGCAATTTCACATAGGCCCCACCACACTCTATTCCATTTTGGAAGTTTACTTCATACCTAGTTTTGGGCAGAAGTGGAGAATGTTACACAAAAGGGGAAAAAAAAATCACTTTCATAATGCAAGGCAACACTTTTCAAGCACAGATTCAAAATAACACTGTTCAGTTGCTTCGAGTCACACATCCAGCTAGTTTTAGACACACAAATTCTACACATTGAACAGATATTCACAAGGGTCTAACAAACAACAGGAACTAAACTCAGAAGACTTAATCTAAGAGGAAAGATTAAAGGAATTGAGTGCTACTCTAGAAGATCGTAATTTGGAAAAGCATTGTTGAGCAGGTAAGGGACTGCAGTATAGTTTAAGGCAAAGCAAATTATCTTCCCCATAACCACTAGGGCAGACAAAGACAACTTAATGTGCTGGATGACCAAAACCAGAACTGTCAGATCCTAGGAAAGGCCCTGCAGAGTTCTTAGAATACAACACAATATTTACAGATACCCAGGAGCCTGAAAAAGGCAAGATATGTCTGTCAGGAGTAGGCAAAATATGCTTGAACCTCTCTCAATGCCAGCAGCTGTGATCGGTGATCATTTAAATTTTATTTTTAGCACTGTAGCCAAAACTAAGCAGTTGTGCAAAGCAAAGTGACCAATTCATCATGTTAGACAAATATGACTTACTCTTCACTTGTAAAGTGGGTCATATCCTACATTTCAGCCCCTCTTACTGAATTTTTTTTTTTTTTTGCTAGTCTAAGACGCATGCAAATAGATTCTGCTACATCAGTTATGGCCCAACAAGTCTAGACAAACTGCTCCCATTCCATGAGGAATTAACTAAAACAAAGAAAGGAAGAAAAACTGCATCTTTACCACTTTGCAAAGTAGGGACAGTTGACTAAATGCACCAACTTACAGATGGGCATCTCTTATCCAAGAGGACAAGGACTTGGAAAATTAGGAGTGAAAAAAAATCAGTTGGTTGACCATATCAACATAAATCAAATTAATTGAAGACTAGAGACTAGTGATTCAGTCTAGTTTTCAGAGACTACTTTCCTTTTCAGACTTCACCACATTGCTCTTCCTTTAGAGGAAAGGAATCAGACTGTTCATAACTTGACACTGCTTCCCTCTAAGAATTTGTGTTGCTACTTTACTGTTACTTAAATGACATAATGGTAGATAACAGGATCCCATATCCCATAACCCATAACCCTTAGACAACAAAAGTTGTTTTTGATTAACCACCACAGCCCACTATGTCATCACTGAATAATGAACACTGTAATAACAAACACTGAAAATTATCTGTTACTTACTGTATAATAAGGGGTTTGGTATCAAATACAAAGGGCTTTGAAAGTTTGGATGAAATTGCATGATGTTTGGCTCGGGTTACCAGTACAAGCCCCTTGTCTCCAGGAAGCCTCGTGTCCTTCATATCTTGGACTTCCCATTTACCTGAGGAGGAGGGAAAGTTATCTACTATCGAAATTTATTCAAGACATTTTTAACTTGAAACAAGTCAGCATTCTATAATCACATCCTATAAGGTGTTTTCTAAAGTTATTACCATAACATCTTCACTAAACATGTTCAAAACTTAAGTGGATTGATTGTCTAAATTAGGACACTTTGTATTATTTGCCAAGTATATACTTTTTTTTTTTTTTTAAATACAGGAAATATTACCTCATCTTGAAAACTGAAAAGAAAGACTTGCATCTCTCTTTAGAGATGAGAAAGACATAAGAAGTGTCTACTGTTTGGACAAAACCTAGCTAGCGCTTACCATCATATTTGGCAATCTCATCATCTGTATCATCTTTCTTTGCTTTGGAAAGGATCCACCTAGAAAAAAGACATGCACTGGTCAGAAAGACATGTTTTTTTTTCCCCCTTCTCTCAAGAAAACTAATTTCCTTCTCCTTTTTAATCTTCCTACCTACTCAAAAAAAAAAAAAAAAAAAAAAAAAAAAAAAAAAAGACAGCCCTTAGAAGAGATCCTATGACTAAGTCCTAGAGCTATTAGGACTCTCTCCAGGAGTTTTGTTCCTTGAGCCTGGATAATTCTCTAGGATCATTACCCAAGTGTCTTGCTCTTGTAAAAGTTCCCACTAAGCAAATCTCTGGTATTTCTCCATCCTAACTTATTACCTGAAGAAGTTACAGAAAGTATAATTAGAAGATTTAAAACAGTATAGATGCATGGCACACCCCCGCTTCAGCAGCTAAGGATATACTAGTTTAGTTCAGCACTTTAACAGCCTGCATTATGCAGCCACTGTTCTAACCCACCAACCACTGCCATTTGATTCAGTTTTGAAGAGCATAGGCTCTAGGTGGTGCTAAATTTAGTTCTTTGTTGTACATTGCATTCACAGATTATATTTACCCATCCAGAGTTCCTTTATCAAAGGTTTCCGCAAAATAAACTTCACCCGTTGGGACAGGCACCCTGTAGGTAACCTATTGGACAAAAACAGATGTTTAAAGCACCTTTAAAATTATTCCCCCACTTCATAATCAAAAAGCAATAAATGCACATACAGCTCATTTCTCCTCTATACTGGAATTTACTTGAAAAACTCCAGCAGCATAAATATAAAAATTATTTACATGCTGCTACTTATGCCAAGTCATTGTCTTCTTGTCTGCAGCTAAAAGTGAAGCATGTATCTCCTGAAAAGCACACCACGAATTTCAAGTGGATCTAAGTCTTCAGAAAGATAGAGGACAAAAAAGAATAGGAAAGATGCAACTAAATATAATTCCAAATCTTACTCCTGAGCAAGATTTCTTAATTTACAAGATTTTAAAAATGAACAGTAATATCTCCAATCAGACGTGTTTTACCTATAATGCAAGCTAACTTGATTTAAGAGCATGTTCATGCCAAACCTTTGGAGGTGGTGGAGGAGCGCTGCTTTCAGACTGTGACTCTTCTACCTCTTCAATGGTATCATCCAAGTCATCCTCAATATCAACCACATCATCAACATCGTCATCTTCCATGTCAAGTGCCTGGACAGTGAGCGTTCCAAGAGCCAGCAGTGTCACACACAGCAGCCATTTTGGCTCCATGACCTGAATACAAGAGACACAAATTAAAAAAAATTACAGGTCAAACTAGTAAGTCTGCACAAAGTAAGTCGCTCTGATTGTATATGAACAAGTCTCCTATACAATAGGTGAAGTGCCTAGTCTCATCATGAGAGGATATAATCTTACAGTAAGAGAATTAAAGATGATTGACTAGTTGAGATGGCTCTAAAAATCCTCTTGGAGCAGAACGTAACAAAGCAGAAGTATTTAATGCAGAACAGGAGCATGTGCCTAAGATCTGCAGATCACACTGCATAAGGGTCAGAATTTTACTGCTTTTACACTGCTAGAGGCTATGAGCAGAACAGCAGAAATAGACACGGCACAACCTCTACACTCGCAAAACAGTAAACCTATTTCTTGCTTTTAAAAAAGTTTGAAGTGTGCCAGAGAGGAGCTGACACTTCCCTTCAGTCAGACATTTACTTAGTAAGGTCCTTCAAGTGCAGTGAAGCAATCATTCTTCCATGCCTTGTCCAGTATTTTAATTCCTTCTTTCACCCGCAGGACACTGCTGTTTACATTCACCATTTCTTTTCCCCATGATTTATTTTGGAATTATAGCAAGTAGTCTCTACGACCAAATGTCTATAAAGAGATACTGAAAGAGACCCAGGAGAAGACATCTCTGGCAGCTCAGTATACACTTACTTTGATGCCCTTCCCCTCATTCTCTGCATTAAAGGGACGACCAAAAACTTGAAGGCTCGACACAATTAAGGAATCCCACCTCAACTAGTCTACAGCTTTCAACTATGACTTGACTTTCTCACCCAAATTGGAGTTGCAACTGAGGATATGTACATGTAGAAGTAAACCGAGTCTGAACCCAAACATACTGTTCTTCTCTTACCTGCGCTGGACTGTAGCCAGGTAGGCTCACAGACAACTGAGTCAACAGGGCCCATAAGGGTTATGCTAAATTAGTTAGGCTAAGAAACAGATTTTCAACTTTAAGTTTACCAACGCAACTAAAAGCTTAAGCAGCAAATTCTTATCAACACCATCCAATATACCAAAATTCAGCTGTATCCCAGGCCTCTTAGATTCTTTAGATTACTTTTGGTGGCAGAAAGGATGTTTTAAAACTACAACAAAACCATATTTTGAAGACGCATGCTGAGGTCACGCTCAGTTTATCACTACAGCAACATGCAATTGCAGCCAGTTTTCTAACAATAGTGACGGCCTCGAGGATTACGCTCTAAATACACGTTCCCAACCCACCCGCTGCCCTGGCGCGGGCAACTGCACCAAAACAGCTCGGAGCCAGAAGGGCACAGCTCACAGCACAAACAGCTGATAAAAAAAACTTAAGTGTTGCTACACACAAGCAGAGACTGTTGTTTTTGTGCAACGTACAGCCAGGACTGAAATAGTCCTCACACACTCATTGATTCCATTACAAATGGGGGAACCACCATGTGAAAAACAAAACTGTGCAGCATTTTCCAGCCCCCGGACATGCAAGTTCCTCCAGCACAGAGACTATGCCCTGAACAAGCCTGTGCCCACCAGCAATGAGAGCAAGAGGCCAAAACACCACTTCCTTACTCCAAATTCAGTGTGTGCATCCAAAGCAAGTAGAGGGTAGACCACACAAAGAGACATTTCCAAGAGGAGAGTTGAATTTTCTTTTACCTTACATGAAAGCTTCACTTAAAAGTATATTTTTAAGCATTAAAAGGTGGAGTGAGATTCTAATCCACATCTCAGTTGTTTTCAAAATTACATCTGTTAGGCAGAATGGTCACTTAGATTTTGGGGAGGTGTTACAAGATAAGCTAATGCTTTCCCCGCCTCCCGAGAAGGGAGTTTCTGCATAGCTCCTCCCTGGCTCGTGCAAGGGCCACTACCACTGGTTCAGCACACCAGAATCCCTCAACCAAGCTCCCCAGCAGCCAAACAGCAGCACGCCCTGGGGAAAGAGCTGGACTAACTCTCATGCTGGACTAACTCTCATGCCGCTACCCTGACTTCACACCCATGAGCTACCTCCTTCACAACCCCTCCTTAACTACGGCCCTTGGGATGCATCTGTCAGCCTCAAATGGATTTTATTTAGTGCTGGCACTTCTTGAGGGCAGAAGTATCAAGGACACCTGGCCTGAGGACAATTATTTCCTTAGCCTGATATTGCAATATGTCTGTTCGCTCGGGGCCAGCTCGCTCCTGGGATTCCTCCAAAGCCACCCAGTAAACCCAGACAGTTGCAGCAGTGATCCTCACACCAAGGGCATAAGCCACTTCATTTCAGCCCAGCTCCAAACACAGCCCTATGTACCTACCCCGTAAATCTACATTTAAGAGCTATTACTATAAGCTTGAGCTATTGTACTATAAGCTTGAGGAATTTTGTTTTAAGCTAACATTACTATCTGTTCAAGCCCCCAGGCAAGCTTGAAAAAAAGAAAACATGAAACTAATCCAGTTTCATGTCATTGCTTCTTTATAATCACTGGCAAGCAATTTCCATGATCTTACAACCCAAAGAAAGCTGTTTAAGACACCTCCTACATATTAAACCAGTCCTAAATTCAACAGGAATTATTTGTACACCTTCAGCACCAAATGGCAGCACCTCCAGCAAATACCGGTCGTCCCACCAAGCTTCTTACTCTGTCAACCCATAACAATTTACAAAATGAAAAAAAAAAAAAAAAAAAAAAAAAAAAAAAAAAAAAAACACAGTATGTTTTCAGAAGAGCAATTTAAGCAAAGCACAGGTTTTTGATGTTTGAAAACCTGGTTCTACCCAGAACAGATGTGCTGCTACAAGAGGGAAATTTCAAGTTCAGTTCACACAGTCCTCAGGGACACAATACAAACATGATTATGCTCTAGTAAATTAGGTTATTCCAAAATAGGAGGAGATGGAAAGGAAAGGGAGGGAGAAGAAACAATTTAAGAGAGGGAGGCAGATAAGAACCTCCACCCACCCTCCCCATAAGAAAGGCCGAAAAAAAAACTTTAGGTAGAGCTTCATGGTTAAGTTGCTGTCAACTCTAAGTGCTCAGTTAGCCAATTAAAACATGATGCAGCCTCCAGGACACCACCTTCCCTTCAGCTGAGAAACCACGCCGAGGTGGCAGTGTCCAGTTTCCAAGCAATTGTCCTCATTGACCACTTCTGAAATGAGGCCTCCATTTCCACTCCCAGGTTTGACTATAACATTTCTGAAGGTTACGCTGTTTCTGACCAGGCAGCTGCCCAAGGCTGCTCACAATGAAAGCCTTTCACGGCAGGCAGGAGCTTCCCAAGTCTCCATTCCACTTCAGAGAACTCGCTCCTACCACGTGCTCTAGGTGACCCTGCCTGTGCAGGGGGTTGGACTAGATGATCTCTACAGGATCTCTCCAACCTTTATCATTCTGTGATTCTATGCGACACTGCCACAAGGCAATGACCTCACCTGCCTTTCCCGTGTGCCCTTCAGACATTGGTAGCCACTGGCACTCAGCTTGTACAGAAGAGAAACTACTGTGACATAAACCAAAGTACTAACTAGGGAAACAGCTTCAGGTCACCAGGGCTAACAAGTCACTTATTTGTTCTATGTCCGGGTGTTCATCCACAGTCAGGTCCCACACTATGAACAGAATAATTTATATTCAAGCAGTATTCATTAATTGCTAAGTGATGAGGGCTGAAACATTTTCTCTGAGAAAATATGGGACACCTACCCGTGCACCAAAAATGGACACCTAAAACCACTACCCTATGCAGGATCGCTTTCTACAGCAGCAGAAACTGAAGAAGTTGCAATGAGATTCAAGAACAGGACCTACCCCTTGCATTAAGACCAGCACTCTCACTTTATAGCATCTTCCTTGCATTTCAAAGTCTTTGCAGAGCCATGCTGCCTCAGAGATTTCCTTAATTAACTTTTTACAGGGCATAAAGGCTGAAGTTCTTCTTAACTTCTGGTATGTTACTGAAAATTTTTGATCCATACAGCAAATAATCACCATGAATCTCTAACACATGGCAGGGGGGACAGACACTGGACAGATCCACCTGTTAGGTCCCTTGTTTTCACACTTCCAGAAGCCACAGCTGAGGAGGCCACTTCCTTGTCAGGTTAAGCAGAGCCTGACAAACCAGTTTAATCATCTCCTTGGTTACTGATCTATTTGAGTGGTTCATCAAGCCATCAAATATCTCAGACTTATCTACACTGTCACTAGATATCTAGTTTAACAAAACAAAACACACACACCCTACCCAAAAAAAACACTGCCTGATGAAAGAAAACAATCTTTTTTTAAAAAGGGGCAATTACTATGAATTACATTATTGTCATATGACTGCAACCATAGAATCATAGAATGCCCAAGGTTGGAAGGGACCTCAGAGGTCATCGAGTCCAACCCCCCTGCACATGCAGGGTCACCTAGAGCACGTGGCACAGGACTGCATCCAAGCGGGTTTTAAAGAACTCCAAAGAAGGAGACTCCTTTGGAGTCTCCAACAACAACAGTATCAATGGTTACTATCCTGAGAGGACTTCATTTCAGATGCCTTTCATTGATAAAGTTACAAACAGCAGCTGTATTTGGCTAAAGTATCTGCAGAGCAAAATCTGCCAGGAAATTCTCACAATTCTCTAGCTCCAAATATTGTATTTCAAGACGGTACCTACAGTTGTAGGTACAGTTGGAAGTGTACTGGCAAAAGCAAACCAACCATCACGCAAGGCAAGAATTATGGGAAAAGGTTTGAGAGAGACAGAATAGAGAAATTCAGTGTGCAGAAATAAAGAAATTCAGCGTGTATAAAAAAGGTAGAGGGGCAGGTATCCCATTTCAAGAAGTTTTTTTTTTTTTTTTTTTTTTTTTTGCTGTTTCTGAGCAGGAACTTGGCTATGCCACTTGATAAATCCATTGGCTTGTTGAGGTCAGAAGCACAAGAGCAGAGGGAACCTTCTTTTAGCACCTTGTGTTCCCCTCACCCTTCAGTGGACACACCTGCCCCCCCAG